AAATGTGTTGAACACATTTCGCATCACATGCATCTCCGTGTTCCAGTGAGTGGGATACGTATACTTTGCCGTCGGACTGACACGATCAATGAAGTCCACAAGGGGCCGAAGTGCAGCTTCAGGGTCCGACGCAGGTCGCTGTCCCCACTTGTCCAGCCAGAACAGGCGCTTCTTCTCCAGGAATGGCTGGATTGTCTTGTTCCATTTACTATCAGGATTAGTGTAGAGCATACCCTGTAGACCGATATCCTTGTAGAGCCAGATTGACCAGCTGATGTTGTACTTGTCGTAGATCCGTAGTTGCTCGCCGAGAAGGTTGTATCGGTCTTGGTTGATTGTTGCCGCATCAGCATCAAGGGCCGGGTCTGCGTAAACTGGACCGAACTCGCCGTTCCAGATGGGAGTTTTGTTTTGGAGCATGAATTCTGCTTTGCGGAGATATTGTCGCTCAAGAGCTTGCTTTTGCTCTGCTGTAGCCTTGTAGGCATCGCCAGTGGGGAAGCCCATTGTCTGGACAAATCTCAGTTAGAACCGTTGGTCTCCCGTGGGGACTTTTAGGTCTGTAGCATACCGAGTAATCGTGCATGGCATAAACGCAATTCGGTAGCACCTTATCAAATCCCTTCCACTCCATAGCAAAGGTATTCCCATCCAGCCACAGTATATGATGAGGATCAACCTCGCGAAGTTCCTTCTCGATTCGCTCATAGAACGCAGGAAGTCGCACGTGCTGAGGATCACACGGCTCGTTCAGAGGATTATACCCAGCGACCCAAGGATTATCCTTATACCGAGCAGCGATCTGCTGCCAAAGCCACACAGTCCGGTCCTGATGATCCTTGTAATCCCAGAAAGCAGCATAGCTCGTCGGGTTATCCGAATGCCAATCCGGGTTCTGGCCACCAGGAACGGTATGCATGTCCAAGATAGTGTAAATGCCATGTGCAGCACACTATTAGTCTCAGCGTTAGCCCATCGACGAAGGGGGAACCGTAATTGAAGAACGAACCAAATCAATCACCCGATCAAGATGCTTGAAACCAGAAGATTTGATAACCCGCGGGGCCATATCATCTTCAAAGTGACGGTAGTTAAACGGAATGCGGAGACAATTGAGACCCAGACTCGCGAAGAACTTGGCATCAGCATCGGTGAAGAAATTCTCCAGCCACTTGTCGAAAAAGAGTTCGTATTTCCGGGGTCCAAGGACTCGAAGCATAGCCGCTCGGTGCTGGGATTCATGACCGGGGAATCCAGTGATGAAGTTCTCCATACTAGGATTGGTCAGTATGAGGGCTCTACGGGGCTGGAGGGGAAGCTGCCATACTTCATCCATCCTCCGATCGCAGCTCCACGCAAGACCACTTGCTTCCCATTGCCGTCGACGACAGTATTATCTTTCACTTGGAGGATTCCGGTGGCCATGGTACAAACGCCTTGTTAGTTAATTGTGATTGAGGAAGGGTTGCAACGTCGACGTGGACATTGGACAGGCTGACATCCTTTATAAGCAGTATGTTCAACCGGACTTTTACCGGTAGGTAATTCCCATAGCTCTCAAATATGGAGCCCAATTGCGGGGAATTTGAGACTCGGTCATTTCGGCGTTGGCCAAGGACTTGGCTGGCTCGAGGGAGACTACCCCGGTCCATTGCACCGGTTAAATCTACACGCATTTAGGCTGTGACCCCCACGCTAGCCAAATATCAGGAACAGCCAAGTTGTACGAGAGTGCATGATGCATTAAGAGAATAGATACAAAGAGATGCGAAAATTGACATTGGAGTGGGCCACCCGGGTATTCGAATCATACAATAATGCAACAAACGCCGTTTCACAAAGCCGCACGAACGCTCACAGGATAATCATAACAATTAGTGCAACGCAACTACCAGTCCTGTCCACGATCCCGCATGAGGATCTCGATAGCCTCTTCCTCGGGCACAGGATTTTCGTTCAAGTCAATGACACACTCTGTCAAGCCTTCGGCTGCCTCGTCCGCTTCTTCGGCTGACCAGCCCGTGCATGCCATCACCATGCGACGGTAGTTCTGCCCGAGAACTACGTTCTTGGTCTTGAGATCCTCAACTTCAGTCATGATGCCAGCGTTCCACTCTTGGTAGCATCGTATGCGATGCCTCAACACATCTGGCGAAGGAATAGTAGCCAGGAAAGCCACTTGCTGAGCAGAAAACCCAGCGGACGAATCAAACGTCTCCCCGAACAAAGCGTCAAACGTGACAGGATCAACTCCAGAGCCTTTATCGGCATCTCCGATAACGGCAACCCGAGAGAGGTCAATTCCCGGCGTGCCCTTCAACGTGCCCACCAAGTCCTCGGAAGACCGCTCCAGGTTCTTGATACGCCGATCGGTCTCAGCTCGCTCCGAACCCCTTTGCTTCAACATATCCAGCTGCTTCTGTTCAATCTGGCGGGCTTTGGCAGCCGCACGGATTTTGGTGTGCCAGTGGTCAAACTTTTCTTGCTTCTGAGTTATGCTGGAGGCTAAGTCTCGGTCTATACCGCCGAGCGCCTCTTCGACCATGGTATTAATTTGCGACAAGGCAGCTAAGGCGAAGTTAGCATGAATTGATAAAAAAACAGCATTGAGCGCAGAAAAAAGTTCTTACCATCGAGAATGTCCTTCTTGGATTTTGCAAGCTGGTCAATAAAAGTGTCATTTCGACCACTGGCTTGCTGAGTTTGACCATTTCCATCTACCATATCCACACCAACGCCATAATCAGCAGGCCGAAGTCCTGTGTGATTTGGAATGTGGGGATCTGCGCCCACTTCCAATAGCTGAGGAACGAGCACTGATCGTGCACGTCCTGCAAGGTTCAGAGCAGTATCACCTTGCTCGTCGCGTAGATTTACAATCTCCGAGATGAATCGGCCTAGAGAGATGACCTCACTGCCTTGTGACCCATTCTGCGTGTGATCGCTATTGGTGCTGGAGGAGATCCCACCATGTCGGACGATGAATTCCAACAGAGATTCGAGATAGTGCTTTGCGGAGACATGGCCACCGCCACCAGTGGCTGCCATGACAGCGATGTGGTGCAGAATGGTTCGCCCACTGTAGTCCACCATATCGATAGTCGGAGCCAGCACCTGAAGTAAACGGGGGAAGCTTCGGTAATCAAGGTTGTTGCGGGTTCCTACCGCCTTTTGCAGAGCAGTCTCGCCTGCGGCGTTTACTCGCGCAATGCTCGCACCTTTTGCTACTAATGCATGGACTAGCGGCATACGCGCCAGCATCGCAGCCCAATGAAGGGCATTATTTCGGTACTCATCAAGAGGGATCTCAAGATCTTCGCCCGTCAACTGCATGAGAGCAGGATGGTTGGAAAAGTCCTTGATTCTTTTGTCAAGGAACAAAGTCATAATCAGCTTCTGCTTTTGGAAGCCCTCGGGATCTGAAGCAGGGGGAATGGCCTCGGAACCACGTTTGTGTCCATCATCCATTGGCGGCGGCGGAAGATCGAGGTCTTGATAAAATGATTCATTAGGTTCGGTGGGGGTAGGTTCATGCATGGAGAGATTGGATGACTCTCTGGGCAACCCAATTGGCGGTCCGTGGTGCGATGAAGAGCGAACACGCTTGCGTGGGGGTTCCATGAAATCCTCGTGGTCATCATGTGCCTGGAAGCGATTCTGTAGACTGCTGAATCCACTGTCAGACATGTTGTACATGCTCTGTTGGCTGCTAAACGCCATCTGAGATTCTTGGCTGCTCATCTGCTGTGACGGCTTGCGAGCGACGCTTGGTCGGCGGCTGTTCCCACTCGGCGAATCGAAGCGAGCCTTGCTGATGGCATTGACAGCAGTAGCTGCCGTGCGGGAGATATTCTGGAAAAAGGTTCCTTGCTGGGGCTGCGCCATGCTTCGATTCTCTGCGCCACTGTAGAGACGCTTGCGCTGGGCAGCCATAGCCTGCTCTTTCGTGGGAGTATCGAGGGTGCTCTGGGAGGGACCGCCGGAGCCATCGGGGCTCATATCGTATTCCAGCAATGGTCGCAACAATTCCTCCACATGGTACTCGCGGCACAGATCAACGCCTCGCTGGTAGTTGACCCAGGTGCCTTGGTATTTTCCGTAACCACCTTGAACCTTCTCGTGCTCTCCGGCCGCAATTTCCTTCTCCAGAGTCTTCGTGCGTCGAGCCTTGACAACACCAGCCACCTTAAGAATTTGCGTTGCGTTCAACCAGGAATCGGATCGACGTTTCATGACTGCGACTCCGTTGACCTCCATCTCGTAAACGGAGACATTGGAGTAGACCGCCTAGAACAATATCATATCCCGTTAGTATTTTTTATATCCCGTAAGATCAGCAGCGACATGACGAACGCGGTAGATCTGTGGCTTCAAGTCTTCCTGATAGGACATCATCGACCCGTAATCATTTCCACCATCATAATTGCCATTGAAACTGCCACGAAAGGCGCCGTTGGAGACCCCAAACGAGGACATTTGCGATCCTTTCGGCGGCGGCGGAGTTGCGCGAGGGGCGGACGAGAGAGATTGTGAATTGTGAAGAACGCTGTAAGCCAAACCGTTTGCTGATCGTGTGCTACTCTGTGAGTAGGACATACTGCAGGAGAGTCCTTTCCAGCACAGTCAGCAACCAGCCAGTCCCAAAAAAGGTGACCCGGGTAGGAAATATTGGAGAGGTGGAGATAGTTACCGGAAGGCGGGAAGACGCGAGTAAAAGGAGGCGCGTGGGTACCACCCCTTCAGTGAGGATAGCGGCAACAACCGATAACGGGAACCATAAACGGAAGGACCAGGAGTGATCTGGCGTAATTCAAGAATGTGTCAGAAATAAGATCAAGATCAAGATCCGAGGCTCAATGCAAGGTGAGGAGGCGCAAGTCGCGGGGTTTGGGGGGGTGGGAAGAACGAAAAGAGGCGCGTCCGTCCCGTGACACGCTCTGCCGCCAAGGTTTTCGCGTTTTCGCTGGTTTTGGATGGTTTAGGCAAAAGGGTCGTCCACTCATCCCATGGCGTCTGTTCGATTATCTCGACCACTACACACTCCAGATCCTACATTATGGCGATCATTATATCGGGCTACTCTACGAGAATGTACTTATCTCCCTGATCCCATTGCTCGAGGATACATGCGTGAACATGTCGTGCATCGCTATCGCCGATCTCAAAAATCCCACCGCTCAGACCTCGAGTTAGCTCGGTCAGCCAGGCAGGGTCTATCTGTCCTTCAAAGAGCAAACCAAGGCTACCAGCGCCCACTTGAGAGAGTGCTTCACATGTCATATGGTCGTATTGGAAAACGAAGACATGAATTGCTGGCCGAATTGATGAAGCCCCAAGTCCCTAGGGATACCGAGGCCGTGAAGGAACTCATTGCTCAACCTATCCAATTTGAAGATGGCTGGGAACCGCCAGAGGTTATTATGAGTCTTGCAAAATCTCAAATACGCAATGGTTTCTTGTCTTCATCACGCGTTCGGCCTGCACTGAAGAACCTGCGCCCTCCAATCCCCGAGACGAACAGCTGGGGCAAACCCGTGCCTCGAGTACGTCGAGTCAATATCCGGAAAAAGTGGTACGGTAATATGCTGGAAACCCTCCTGCCACCACTACCCTCTTCTCAGCTCCATATTCTAGACGGTCTGATTCTAGGAACCGTGGCCTGGGCTCCGCGGCGGACAAGACCGGCTGACCCCTTGACATTCAATGGCAACGATGAAGATCATGATCCCTTATTGGACTTCTTGACAAGAGGACCCCAAAAGGGACACACTTTCCGCGAGTGGTCGAGTGGTCGACCGCACGAAATCACCGATCGCTTCATGCGTCGACTATGGAGGCGGGTCTCTAGTCTCGTTCCCCGGAGGCAATACAGCGTTACGGCCAATAAGTGGTCCTTCATATGGGACACCCCCAAGGCAATGCCTCAACTGGCCTTTGAGGTTGACACTACGGCAAATCTCGATCATGTCTTTGGTCAGTCAGAAGTTAAATCCAGAGCCAGGAACACGGGCAAACCGGAGGCTCCAACGGAGACGTCCAGCCAAGAGCCAAAAGCCTAGCCTGTATCACCGTGATACATCGACTGGACTATCAAAATGCTCTCTGCACCACAAACTGTATTATATTCGATATACCCCAAGAATTCATATTCCCGAGCTTCAATCATATCGAGCTTGAGCTTTCGTCTTCAAGATAGAGACTACTACATACTACTTTGACCACACCTTGTTGGAACAATATCGAATTGGATAGGCATTGGAGATCATAAACGCATAAAGAATAAGAGCGCAAGGACAGCGGCTAGACCGAAGAAAGCATCCCTATAAAGCCAGTATCGATACACTCAAAAAGGGGGTATAAGAATATCGCATGTCGCCATCACCAGACCAGCCGAGTCAAACGTCAAACGTAATCATAGTTCGTCGGTAAGAAGTTGGCATGGCAGTGCAGGCTCATGTAGCCTGGCAAACACCATCTTCAACCATGCTCCCAAACTCGATCGAATTTCAAGCACTATGAATAAAGCTGTAGCGGAGAGGCTAATCCCGACGAGAACAAACCATGCTCTGCCGCAAAGCCTAATCACTAGAAGAGCTGGACGAGCTCGAGCTAGAACTGGAACCTGAGCCACGGCGCTTGTGATGCTTATCCTTCTTATGCTTGTCCTTCTTCTTCTCCTTCTTGTGCTTCTTACTAAACACAAAGAGATTATTAGCATCAACCTCGCACGTAACGGCATCACAAAACACCGAGTCAATCAACCAACTTACACCTCATGAGTTGCCATATTCATTCCCACCGCACCCAGAACGGCACCGCCCGCAGTTCCCAGGAATCCACCGCCTAACTTGTGGCCCGCAAACCCACCAGCTGCGCCACCGATGAGCGTGGATCCAAGACCCTTTTCACCTTCCGGACCTCCCGGCCCAGGCGCATACCCCTGCTGGTGCTGGGGCACTTCGTTGCCATAGTATGAAGCACTAGCCCCGCCTTGTTGGTACGGCTGCTGTTGCTGAGACGGGTAGGGCGAGTGGCCGCGGTCCTGGTGTGGCGCTTGCTGGTTGTGTCCGTATTGACCACCGCCCGGGTATTGGCCCTGCTGGTGCTGCTGCTCGTAAGGTGGGGGAGCGTAGCCTTGCTGGGGCTGGCCGTAATGAGCAGGCGGTTGGCCGCCATATTGTGGCTGGCCATAGTGTTGCTGCTAATAAGAGGTATTGGTTAGCGCTAGATCTTCAGATAGATTACAAGGCCGCGCATCGTTGTGTCAGGGCTGCGCAATTTATTGCTATGCCGACAATATGTGTGAGCAGTCACCAGAGCCAACTCACCTCGGGGGGATAGTAGCCTTGAGGTGGGGGACCACCGTGGCCCTGCTGAGGCGGATAATAACCCTGGCCCTGCTGTTGCTGCTGGCCATAGTAATCACCACCGCCGTACTGGTTGTTGGGGGGACCACCGTAATGCGACATGATGTGAAAATTAGGTGTGATTGTGGAAGGAAAGGATGGAAAGATGAAGAGAGAAGAGGAGTGAGAGATGGGAGGTTGAGAAAAGTAGAAGCAACACAAGTAAGCGATGCGACAGTCAGGAGCGACACGGCGCAATCTAACTAAGCATCCCGCGGCAGTCCACGTCGCGGCACGTTCGGGACCGGCGGGGCTGAGGAGGGGGGATGAAGCACCGCCTCATCCATTCAGCTGCCACTAGGATTTCAGGGGGGACCGTGGATCACACAGCACAGCCTCCGCTCAAGCCTCATCTTACTTGGAAATCTATGAAACTGCAGCTCATGAGCCACAAGAAGGAGTTTCCGGGTCGGGTATGCTAGATGCTAGTATCTATTCATAGATTGTGATCCGAGGAGCATAGGACAGGCACATGTGTCATAAGTACGGCGTGCAGAACTTGAAGCTTTCGAGCGCATCGGATCGCCCCACACTTGACACACGGGCGTACCCTTCCCCCGCGGAAACGTGCAGGAACAAAAGGAGGCTGATGAATCAGTAGGGACCACGAGGCATTCAGAGATTTCATAATACAGATCAGTTCCATGATTGGGGAGGACATTCATTGATAATTATGCCTTAATTTTCATCTAAGCTATTTGTTTCCTCTGGAACCTTCATGGCCCTCCAGGGAGATACGATGCATTCTCCAATGCCCCACCGTTATACAACACACTCCAATCTCATAAGAACATTCCAGTCATCGAAAACAACCTCATTTTATAGTAGGTCATGGGCACATGATCCATTGCACACTGTAGCGAACCCCTTTACATCCAGTCTACTTTGCCCGAATACGAGGTTACCAGATCGGGCCCTTGAGCCTCGAAAATCCCGCATCGGACGGGTATGACGGCATAATACGAGACTCAACGACCACCTTTTATATAGAGAGCCAAACCAGACCATTCCTCTCTTCTTAGGATACTTATAATTTCACCTGTCGTGATAGCTGGTTAAATCAAGTGTGAGATATATTTTACCATTCTTCCAAATTTACTTCAAAGTCCACCGAGCCTGACTCCCGCCAGGCCGACAAGAAACGGCACTCTTACAAGACATACTTCTTCTTATAACTACAACTACAATTCCTTCCACCTCTCCAATCCAAAATGGGAGGCTCCTCAAAAAAGGCGGACGACAAATACGTCATCCCCTCCTGCTTCACCGACACCCACGGTGTAATCACATCCACAATGAACGACCTCCCCGGCTACAAAGTAACCAAGATCCTCGGCACGGTCTACGGCATCACAGTACGCGCCCGCAACTGGGGTGCAGATATTGGCGGGGCCCTCCGTACAGCGGTTGGCGGCGAGATTCGGATTTTCACAAATCTGATGTATACCTCGCGCGAGGAGGCGATGGAGCGGTTGGTTGGGGAATGTATGAGTCGGGGTGGGAATGCGATTATTGCGGTTAGGTTTGACGTTGCTTCTTTTGGGTCTTGTTCGCAGATTTGTGCGTATGGGACTGCTTGTTTGGTTGAGAAGGTTGAGGAGAGGTGAAGACAACGGAGAATGAATGATTTAATGGTTTTGGACATGTATAGTGAACTTCGGCACGGGAATGGTGAAGGCAGGTTATGGATTTATTGAAAATCTAATCACATTACGAATTGGGTATCATAGGATTCGCCTAATTATATGTAAGAAAGTGCGATTCTTTTCTCTGGCAACTGTAGCACAAGAAGCAAAGGGGGGAAAGAAGAATATTAGGCTCATTATAGTCATTAGTTTCGAACGGTGATTCCGGAGACCGAGCGAAGAGTTTTGATTTCAAGTCCATGTTATTCTAGAGCCTCATAACTATCATAGATCTCCTGTGCCAGCCTAATGGCCTACGCTCACTGTTGCTGTTAGTTACAGAGTCAGCTAGCTTAGTCAGGGAGATGGATAACTAGATCGCGGCTTTCAAGCTGCTCGATGGCCCCGCCGAGTTAGTTTCGCGTACTCCCTGCGAGAATTGGACCAGTCAATGCTTACGAGTGTGCATACATAGTTTTCAAGTACGCTGGCTCTTTTTATAGAAGGAAATTACCGCCATTCCCGTAACTGAGAACACATGTCCATAAACCCCCTTTTATCCTAGGAGAGTGTGTTTTCTTCACGATAGAAAATACAGGCCCATTAGGATCGTAATAGTATGTAAGTTCCGTCACTGAACCCTTTGCAAGCGATAACCCTACATTGGCGTATCATCAAAAAGACAACCTCGGCAAGCAATATATAACAAAACGAAATCACCCTCATAGGGCCAAGCGACTCGATTTCATATTCAGTATCGTACCTCTGTCGAGTATCACCAACGACTCATCAACTACGTAGCCCTATAAACTTCTATGATGCATAAACACATACACATTCACCAGATGCTTTACCCAGGAATATCCCTTTTACCCCTCAAACATGGCCATTGAAGACCCGATAACCGCGCTAAAGCACTGGAACTGCCCCCACGGCCATAGCTTCGGGACACCCTCATCCGAGATGAAGCTCCAGGCACGCAGAAGAGAGATAAAAAGGATTCTACGTAGGTGGACCGAGACATCCTTATCTATCCTGAACCTGGATCTATCTCGCCGATTAAGATCCTCCGTGGCGACAGATAGTAACGACAACTTCATTCAACAATATCCTCAATTGGACGCATTGTTTCTTGTGCTACGCATACTCCACACCTGCCCTGAGAGGGTAGAGTCAGATATGGTTTGGTTTGCTGTGGACAATTACCTCACTTGCCTCGCTGAGTTGAAGGGCAGGACGAGCAGTGTGTTGAGTCCTAATCCTCCATGGAACAGAGCCTGGGAGTCCCGTAGTATAATTGGCTAACAAAGCAATGCTAGCCTCGTGCCGAATCCTTATCCTCAAATGCCGCCCCGGAATCGACGGATTCGATCTCGCAAATCCCATCCCTACCACTTTGTCTCACATCCGAGTCCAACATGTAGCTAGCGTTCACTCGTGCAAATCCGCTTGGTTTGGAACGTTCGGCTCTCGATCATGTTTTTGTTTGACAGGTCTTTACTGCTTGGCTAACTATGAATGTTGAGAATTTTTGATAATATAAAGCTTCTAGTACTTCTGAGGCTGAGGATGTGCGGAAGACTACCTATTGCTCAGATCAGACCTATCAGACACCAGTGTCCTTCGATGGCCCAAGGCTTTCTGCCCGACATGTATCAATAAAACCACTCAACCTTTGGCATGGAATCGGAAACTAATTTGAATTCGCGCTCGTTGCCATATACAGATTGATAAACATTCGGCCCCATAATTCACGAAGGTCTGATTGGGTTGCCCTAAGCAGAAGACCCATCAACCACGACCCCGTGTGGGGTATATGTCGCCCACCACTCCTTGTACTTTAGTTCGTAGTGTACTCCAATCCAGAAAATGCCCCTTTTTCGCTTGTGCACTTAATTAACGGTGAACGCTAGGTACGTTCTCAAAGTTACCAGGAAGCATTTCGGCCCCCACAAATTTGCATTGCTTTAGCGAGATACTCCATACATTGTAGCTATTAGAGAGGCTGAGCCAAACAAAACTAGCCTGATATGGTAATCTGAGTGCTGCACCAATCAGGCTGCATATGCTCTCTTTTATATGGAGTAAGATCGACCAAGCACCTCAACTTGTCGAGCCCCAATGAACTACCCTTGACGAATATGTCAATATGGGAGCAGCTATATCAGGGCAAGGCTGTGAGCTTACGCATCCCAACAGGGGCAGACCACTTTGCTCATTTCAGGTCTCCTTTATTATAATTGAGCTTGATTCGCCGTTCTTCATCATCATAGTTCATACAACATTTCCCACGCCTCAACCAACCCCAATGACGTCTTTCAAGCTTCCTATATTTTCATTGCTGGCCCTAGTTGGCAGTGGTGCGTGCAGCACGTCCGTGTCTTCCAGCGCAGGACACGCTCCGACCGGTCTATCTTATCCATCTGGGTTCGACATAACGAAGAGCTGGGGCAACCTCAGTCCGTATGCTGATGCACCTGGATTCGGCGTGTCTAAGGGATATCCACAGGGCTGCGAGCTTTCGCAGGCACACGTCCTTCATCGCCATACCCAACGGTACCCTACTGAGAGTGAGCTGGATTCCGGACTCCTGCTAGCATTCGCCTCGGCGCTACAGAATGCCTCCAAAAAGCACCCGAATACAACAATTGGCACGGGACCACTTTCATTCTTGAATGAGTGGAATTACTTATTGGGGTTGGAGACCCTTCTCCCTTCGGGTGCTGCCACCGAGGCGGAGGCTGGCGCAGACTTCTGGAGTCGGTACGGCCGATTGTTGTATCAGGCACCTACGGGAGATGCAAACTGGAATGCCTCGCTGAATGTGTTTGCGAATGGCACATCTCGTCCAAAGCTCACGTTTCGCACTACCTCTTATCCTCGTATCCTGGAGAGTGCACGGTGGTGGCTGGGTGAGTACCTCCAAGACCCCTCCAATAGAGAACACTACACTTACATCCTATCACTACAGCTGGCTTTTTCGCCAACACGGGCGGCAACAGCTCCTACTCTGAGTATGACCTTGTCATCATTCCTGAGAAGGCAGGCTTCAATAACACACTATCACCAGAGGAAACATGCGAGCCGAAGGAAGCCTCTGCTGCGCTGACAGAAGCTCTGGTCGTGGTTGCCAAGATGATGAAGAATGCTGTCAAACGCCTGTCTGCTTTCTTGCCGAATGATTTTTCACTCAGTGTCTCGGAAGTCCTAGGAATGCTCAATCTGTGTCCGTACGAATATGCTGCCTTGGGTCGCTCACCCTTTTGTTCGCTATTCACAGAGCAAGAGTGGCGCGACTTTGAGTACTTGCTTGATCTGGACTTCTACGATGCATACGGGTTTGGCTCTTATAACGGCCGTGCCCAAGGTATAGGCTACATCCAAGAGTTAGCGGCACGGCTTCAGCACAAGCTCATTACGAGCAGTGAAAGCAGCATCAACTCCACATATGACGATAACGAGAGTGACTTCCCGCTGGGCCAGCCTTTCTATATGGACATGTCGCATGACAATGTGATTGTCTCTGTTCTGACAGCCTTGGGCCTAGACTATTTCAAATATGGCCCGCAAGGCTTGCCGTTGAACGTTACACATGCTCCGCGTCGCCATTTCAAGATGAGTAATATTGCCCCCTTCGGCGGCCGTCTGGTGTCCGAAATCTGGACATGCCCCAAGTCCACTTCGTTCCACCATCTGCAGTCGCAGCTGTACAAGAACCCGGATTTGTCTTCCAGCTCTGACACCGTTGACTATATCCGTTTCGTTTTGAATAACGCTCCTCTTCCGCTGAACGGCTTATCTGCTTGCGATGGGGCCGTGAATGGTTTCTGTCCAGTGAAGAAGTTCCTCGACCAAGTTCCTCGGCTTACCAAAGAGGCAACGTACCAGAAGGCTTGTTTCGGCTCATACAACACCAGTGTCTCAGTTGGCAATGGACAGCCACCTCAATACTAGATGTGAGTTGGTTATTCGAAGGCGGGGGTGTGCCTAAAAAAGATGTATACAATTCTAAGGGTGACTGGACCACTTAATATGAACATGAAATTGAACCGGACAGAATTTCCAAGCTAAGTCGCAACAAGACTGAATCTTGGAGACCAACAGGGTAGGCCCGCAAGCTTGCTATAACATGGAAATAATCGAATGTGAATCCGGAAGGGTTCACCAAAACGTACACCCTAGTGTGTAGTAGAGCGGAGTAGGACCCATACTCCTACAAGATATTCCCTGGCAAAAATGTCCAAAACAGCCTTAGAGCTACTAGTCTAGTACGAAATTGACACGAAGAGAGTACTTTCTAAGATATGTGTCTTTCTCCAAACGCCTATATTACTGAGGAGTACTCTATAGTTCTGGTTAATTCACACTCAAGACGCCTAAGGCAGTCTTTTTAATAAAAACTTAAGCATCCTGGCTTAAGTAAATACTAAAGCAACGGTTAAATAGCCCTCGTACACAATTAAAAATCTTATTAGATTAGCTTATCAATGTGTGCCAGATTGTCATATACAGCGTTGCCCTTTTATTCAAAAGAACGCTAATCTGGGCATATCTAATAAGACAAAAGGGCTAGAAACGTAATGATTTAACTAACTCGATGGCCCATAAGGATGGCCTATCGGTCAAAGAGGATCTAGCTACTCAAGTAGCTCAACCAGCGGGTAGAAGGCGACATGGTCGTACCGTATGCGTAGGGCGAATTGCCCAACCAGGCAAAGCTACCACATATTGGGGGATATAGTGGGCTTGGGGAGGCTGGTCATAAGATTAATTGCATTAAGAATCGCTAGTGATAAAGAAACAAACCTTTTAATTGAGATGTGTTGTTTAGAAATATTCTAATGGGGCTGATTGGGTCGGCCGGGGATTATGTCAACAACAACTACGTTGCCAAAAAACATTTGAACGCGTCATTTTCGATCAGGCCGGTAGCTCTGTCAGCTACGTCATTCTCTAAACTTTGTTGACTCCATGGAAATATAAGAGAAAGAAAAGTAAGCGACCTTTGATACTCAAACCAAGTATCTCCAACAGGCCACAATCCATATTTCAATCCCTGTACGGGCATTCTTGGAAAAGGTCAATTTTTGTGCACGCCCTATCAAATTGAAAGCTATTCTCAATGAAGTGTATCTAATTTGTTTCACAGAATCAACTCAGCCTACTGTCAGCATCTTAATTGACGTAGATCTCTACCCTATCTGAATTTCCCGTATACCATGTCTGCACCCAAAGGTGGCCGCCAGTCTCCTGACCCGGAGCACCAGTCCGGAGCCCAACAGCAAGATCCTATGTTTTCCGAACACACGAGCGTTGAAACGCGCCCGGCACCAGAGATCGGTCACAAAATGGATGAAACAAACGATCATCCGTTGCTTAGTAACCCTGTTCATCCTTTGGAGAACATCGAGGCTGGTAAATATGGTCGATCCATCAGAGGTTTCGAAGAGGGAGGGATCTTTGGAGCTTTGTGATGCTTTCGTGAAATCAAATTGAAACCTGGTGCTTTTAATAATAAATGAAGCGATTTCAAAATGCTTCAATGTGCTCTACGAAGGATATGGAGGTCGAATCGGCACTGAAATTTCGCCGATTGCTCTAAAGCTAAAAATCTTTCCAGAAGCGAGTATTCTCCAGGGAAAACTTAGTTCAACAGTCGCGCCGACCGGACTTCTAATTTCCAAATTGAAGAAAAAGGTTCAAAACCTCTCAGCTCCTGCCATGTGCCCCATGGGTACATCAGCAGTCTTCATTCAGTAGCTTTCGGCGATGATGGCTGCTCTATTGGTGGAGGTTGGAATTATAATCTGAACCTCGTCCTGAAGGAAAGTAGCCATCCAATCGAGGTAGAATCCTGGTTTCTTAGGTAGGCGATCGCAGAGGGCTTACACTATGAGGGCGTTACAGTTGACTCTCGACCTATTGAGCTTGAAGAGACATTATCATGAATGCTTCCATATTATCGTACGTCTCTGCGGGATATTAGTGATGACCAACTCCTGTCATATGCCCCCTGGATATAATAGCGGAGGTTTATGAATAGATATAGGTCGAAATTGGCCACTAATGGAAAGTTCATGACCTCATACGGCCCCCGCGCTTTCGAGGTTCGTAATGTCAGAGTGGTACAGCAAAGTTTCATCATGTGGTTCGGAATCATTTAATTAATAGACAAGCGTGAATGAGCAACCCCTTGTCGGTAGAAAACATTGCTTGATTAGTGAACTTGTTCTATTATTTCGATCGGTATCTCTTTCTGTCAACTTTATCTACTCACACAACACTCGTGACCAATAAATCTCATCGACTCTTAGAATCGAATTACATGTTGGTTCAAGACTTCTACCTGAATATTGAGCTTGGTAAGAGTAAATAGTTGATCCGTTATGTAAAATCATAATTCAATTAACAAGCTAGTCTCAAATGGGTTGGGTTAACTACACTCTCGGATGGCTTGCCACCACCCAGTGCAATTTGTAGCTCATATGGAAAGTCAATGACGACTAGACTGGCTGAAGGTTTCCTATCTTAAATTTGATAAATACGATGATAAGATGTCAACCGACTTTATTTATTCTCTGCAACGAGCTATAGTCTGACTTTGTCAGTACCCCACACTACCTTGGACCGAATCTTCACTCACACGCGCCTTCGAAGACATTAAGCGATGTACGGTCGTAGACGAAGACCTCTTCTCGGGGCAGCTGTTCTCGTGGGTGCGTCGAGAGCAAGTGCGAGACACGAAGTCGAAAGGCAAGCCGCATTGGACTACCAGCGTGAATTAGCGATACGGCAAGAAGTGGAGGCACAAAGACTGCGAGATGCAGAGCAAGAAAAGGCGACGCAGCGCCTAGTTCAAGAAGAGGTGCAAAGGGCCATTTCCACCAACCCAAATACAGCCTCATCGTCTATGGCGGCTTCACAACCCTTGCAACAGCCCCACAACTCACCTCCTCCCTCATATCCCCCCGCTTATCATGAATCCAATATCAGATCAGGCCATTCTACCGATAATGTTTACAATGATCACCAAGCCGCGGCTAGCACAGGCACTGAGGCGGTTGGCAAGACTCGCCATTGTACTGAGTGTGGCGTTGTCTGCCAAGAGAAGGACAGATTTTGTTGGAAATGCGGTGCGAAACACGTCGTACAAGAGAACTGAAAATGAAGATACTTTAGCACAAATGGGCATATGTATCTATGGCTTATATCCTCAATCGATCATTCTTCTCCTGCAAGACTACTTTCAATCCTAGGTAGATTAGGTCATAAACAAAAGACATTCAAATGCGAGTTATTATCAGCAATAAGAGACGTAATTATCTTCCGGCCGTAGGCCCGTCTAGGGTGGTCAAAGCAGCGTATCAAGCTTATAAGTAAACAAGCAGATCATTGTAAGTGGAGGTCAACCGAGAAAAGAATTTGCAAAAACACACAACATCCATACTATGGCGATACTCACCTAGTGCCCATCGTCCGGTGCTAGGTTGACTCGCCGCTATAAGCAGTCGCCTTCAGGCGGGTTCGGGTGGATTCAGGCGGTAGTTCACCCACCTAAATATTCTTCACCTAGAGAGGCCTGAGTCCCTTGCCTAAAAATGTGCTTTTGTATGTTTTGATCAAGGGAAAGATTCGCAATGGGGGAGTAGACACCATGTCCTCCCGGCCGAAGCTGCGGAATGCACCAAGCTTAAAATCATCAATATTCGCAGAAACTAGAGCCCTCGCCGCTAAAGGTTGGGGTAAGAAGACTACGCGACAACGGTCCAAGGAACAGAATGTCGAAATCCGAGACTATTGCCTTCATGCTCTGTGCGACTTCCAGTCGTATCATCTAGTATATTGATGAGTCTGGATGTGGTAAGCGGGTTGGATTTGAGCGGACAAGCCGGGCACCAGTAGGTCAGGCTCCTTTACATGTGGCCCAGTTCCGTCGTGATCAGCGATATTAGATATTACCTGCCTATGCCCAGGATGGGATCGGCCTCTTGCGTGTCTTCCGCGGTTCCACAGATGCCATTGTATTCGAAGATTTCGTATTCGAGCTTCTCTCGCATTGCGGGAGATGGCCAGAGCCTAAATCTATCCTGGTATGGACAATACATCATTTCACCACTCCGAGGCTTATACAGATGTGTACGGAAGAAGCGGACCTAAATCCGACTGAAGAGTTCTTTGCTGAGCTCAAATGTTTCATCAAGCGTAACTGGAACCATTTTGAACAAGATCCCGAACAAGGATTTGATTCCTTCCCGGACTGGTGTATCCGTGTGGTTGATGCAAGAGAAGAGAGTGCTAAAGGCCATTTTCGACACGCGGGTCTGAAAATAGAATTCCGCGACGGCTGAATCCCTTTCGATGTCCTTTTGAGCAAGGTAAGCCAAATTCTTCGGTACTTTAAATTCCCCAATACTTGTCACAAAAATGATCTCTTTGTTTTTCCACGCAATTTTTGGGAAATTAGTAGCCCGTGTACGATTTGTACTACATGAAACGTGGCATCGTGCAACTCGGGACAACCTGTAGACAAGTAGACGAATCGAAAAAGGCGTTTTCTTGGTGAACAATTCGTTGACTTGTTATGTAGATTTCTGGTCGCAATTTTGGCGCGTAATAGTAGGATATGATTGGGTGAGGACAGGGATGTAATTTTATCACACAACTTAGGGCGTGAGGAGCCATGAATACCCCGCCTGAGCACCCTTAGCTGAGCTGGGAGCCTAGTGTATATTATCGGAGACTGGAATTAACACAGCAAAATATCTCACATTCTGTCCACTTTTTGGGTCGGTAATCACAGTACACTGCAAAAAAGCTTAACAATGGAACAAAGAGTGACTGTCCACGTCGGTCAGGCGAATCCGCTAGACAGTACTGGTCTGTGCCTGCTGTCGCTTGACGGTGGCGGCGTGCGCGGGCTCTCGACCCTCTACATCCTCAAAGGCTTGATGGACCGGCTGAACGAGAAACGGCCACCGAAAACCCCAGCGAAGAAGCCCTGCGAGGTCTTTGACCTTATCGGCGGCACCAGTACTGGCGGGTATGACTCCCGACTTCCTATACCATGACTAGTATAACAGCAGACTGACACAAGCAGCCTTATTGCAATCATGCTGGGTCGACTGGAGATGGATGTCGACCAGTGCATCGCAGCATACGTACGATTGATGAAAACGATTTTCGAAAAGCCATCAAAACGGAGTTTCCATAGCCTGTTTGGCAAGATTGAGTCCCGATTCGATGCCAAGCAACTCGAAGAAGCGATCAATCAAGTTATCAGCAGCTGTGGAGTAGGCCCAGCCGATCCTTTCAACGATCAGACAGGGCGTGGCTGTCGAGTGTAAGTTGTCTATACGTAAAAAACACCACTATACTAAAGTATTCAGATTTGTCTGCAGCATCACCCAGGAAACAAAGGAGATCGTGCGCCTTCGCAGCTACCAGAGACCCGGTAAGGCAAATATCCCTGCCACAATATGCCAGGCCGCCCGTGCCACTTCGGCTGCCACGACCTTCTTTGATCCGGTATCGATTGGGGCACGGAAGTTTGCTGATGGCGCGCTTGGGGCCAACAATCCGGTGGACGAAGTAGAGAATGAAGCATCTGATATCTGGTGTCCAGAGACTGGAAATCTAAAGCCGCTGGTGAAATGTTTCATCTCCATTGGAACAGGCAACCCGGGGAAGAAGGCCATGGAGGACAACCTTTTCAAGTTGTTGTCTAAAACCCTGCCAGAACTGACGACGCAAACCGAACATACTGAGAAGAAATTCATTGCCAAGTGGCGTCAGCACTATGCTAGCAAGCGGTACTTCCGGTTCAATGTAGAACAGGGACTGCAAGGGGTTGGGCTGGCAGAGTATCAGCATCAAGGCCGGATTGAAGCAGCAACAGAGGAATATCTTGACCATCAGACAGTGGAGTTCCGGGTACGGGACTGTATTCAGAACCTGGAGTTAAAGCAGAGTGTGTACACGGAAAGCTTCGCCTAGTAATCTAAGCACTGCTGATCACAAATATTCTTATAGACAAAGCATCGATAGGCTTCACGGCGACTCTGAAAGTTTGTATCTTGTTCCTAGATAAATCACTTCTGCTTACTAATATAATACAGAAATATTATAAGGAGCTTCAAGATCAGATGATACTTCAACGGCAGTGTATGGAGGCGGTCCGTAATTTGATGTTCTGGCAAGCTTTGTTAACCGATAATCAGGGCGTGATCGGAGTCGTTGGCATGTACCTTTTGATCGAAACACCAGGTTTATTGGCCGCAAAAATCTTCTCGATGATGTTCACCAGAGATTGCAACAGCGCACCCACACCACAAAGATTGCAGTTATCGGTCTTGGCGGTGTTGGCAAGACGCAGCTGGTTCTTGAGCTAGCCCACCGAGTTCGAACAGAATTTGCAGTGTTTTGGATCCCAGTTAACAGCTTGGCCAACCTTCAAACCAAATATCAGGAAATAGCTCAGAGTCTTCATCTGCCAGACTGTGAGAAGAATGGTACTCACGTCCTAGAATCATTGCAAAAGTACCTTAGTGACGAGAGTATCGGTCCGTGGCTGCTGATCTTCGACAATGCCGACGATATTAGTCTGTGGATATCCCCTTGGTCCTCTGAAGTGGGAGCGAAGCGGCTGATTGACTACATGCCCCGAAGCAGGCATGGATCCATTATCTGGACTACGCGCGATCGCAAGGTAGCCATAGCCGTGGCTCGAGAAAACACCGTGGCAGTGCCAGAAATGGATGAGCTCGGAGCGTCAGAGATGATGCGGAGATATCTGATAAATCCGCATCTTATCAAGGACAACGAATCTATCTTAGCTGGGCTTCTGCGAAAACTGGTCTATCTTCCTCTTGCAATCGTGCAAGCAGCAGCCTATATCAATGAGACTGGCATATCGCTGGCAGAGTACGATGCACTCTTTTCCCACCAAGATGAGGAGGTTATTGAGCTGTTGAGCGAAGAGTTTGAAGACGACAATAGATACCGGGTCACTGAGAATGCAGTTGCAACAACATGGTTTATTTCATTTGAGCAGATCCGCAAGCGCAGCTCTCTCGCAATCGATTATCTGGGTTTAATGGCCTGTGTGAACCCTAAGGATATCCCTATGTCGCTGCTGGCGCTACCCGAAAGATCATCGCAAAAGCAGCAAACTGACGCGATCGGTATTCTGGATGCTTTCTCGTTTATCACGAGACATGGCGATGGATCAGTATTTGATATGCATCGACTGGTACATCTTGCCACACGATGGTGGCTGATAAGGAATGGAGAGCTATCTGCCATTCACAGAAGAGCAGTGGTGCAGCTGAATGGGTTACTATTGGACGTCAGCAAAACCAATCACCCAGTCTGGCGGATATACGTTCCCCATGCACAATACGTTGTAACAGGAGAGAGCAACATCAGCGATGATGTAATCGATCTTGCGCGAAAATGCGGGAAATGTCTGGACTATGATGGGTGTACCGCGAAGCTGAAGTAATGTGTCGGAAGGTTCTTACCTATCGAGAGGTGCTGGGGCCCGAGCATCCCTCCACTCTCGACAGTGTTAATAACCTTGGCTTAGTGCTCTTCAGCCAGGGTAAGTATGAAGATGCGGAGGCTATGCACCGACGAGATCTAGAAGGATCAGAGAAGCTACTAGGGCCCGAGCATCCAGACACACTTACTAGTGTCAATAATCTTGGCTTAGTCCTCTCCAGCCAGGGCAAGTATGAAGACGCGGAGGCTATGCACCGACGAGATCTAGAAGGATCAGAGAAGCTACTAGGGCCCGAGCATCCAGAGACACTCACCAGTCTTGATAACCTTGGCTTAGTCCTCTCCAGCCAGGGCAGATTCAAAGAGGCAGAGGCTATACACCGACGAGCTTTAGAAGGGTATGAGAAGGTGCTAGGGCCCGAGCATCCAGACACACTTACCAGTGTCAATAATCTTGGCTTAGTCCTCTCTATCCAGGGTAAATATGAAGAAGCGGAAGCTATGCACCGACGAGATCTAAAAGGATCAGAGAGTGTGCTAGGTCCCAAGCATCCAGAGACACTCACTAGTGTCAGCAACCTCGGTTATATTCTGTCTAGACAGGGTAAGTACAAAGACGCGGAGGCTATATATCGACGAGCCTTAGAAGGCTATAAGGAGGTGCTAGGGCTCGAGCATCCAGATACACTCACCGGTTTCAGCAACCTCGGTCATACCCTGTCTAGACAAGGTAAGTATAAAGATGCGGAGGCTATGTACCGACGAGATCTAGAAGGATCAGAGAAGACGCTAGGGCCTCAACACTCAGACACACTCATCAGTGTCAGCAATCTCGGCAAAGTCCTCTCAAGACAGGGCAAGTATGAAGACGCGGCGGCCATGTACAAGCGAGCATTAGAAGGTTACAAGAAGGTGCTAGGGCCTAAGCATCCAGACACAATCGCCAGTGTCCGCAGTCTTAGGAAAGTCCTCTCCAGACAGGGCAAAAATGAAGAGGCGGAACAGATACTGAAACAGGCATCATGACGCGTTCAAAAGTATTCAAATGAGAATATACCAAAATGGTTACTTCTCTAGATAATCCCTATCCCTCGTCGATCTTCTGGAATAGCGCTCCTGAACTTTCTGACACATTCCAATCAACGACTCTATTGAAGAATTACATCGGCATAGTACATGGTAGCCCCCCCTCTGTTTCTGTAACGTTTCATTAACGACCCAATATTGTTTTGTGGGTGCTTAGGCAAAATCTCCGTCAATTTCTCCATATCCCATTAGAGATTCAGGTTTCTCGCACTTTGCGTCGATGGAATTAATAGGAAAGAAGTCACGGGATGCGCGCACTTCATCAACTCCAGGGAGGTTGATTTCGAGATGATGAAGGTTTGTTATTCTGCGAATATGAACTAGAAGCTCATATGGCTAATGGTGTCCTGTTAGTAGAATGTTGCAGATAGCAAACTTTTTAAGTGATTATGCATACCCATTCTTCATCTTGCCAGTCCAGGTCAAGGCCCAAAGACTGGAGACTAGGAAACTGTTCTGGCAGATTAACCAGATCTTCGATGCTTGGTGGAAAGGGGAGCAATTGTCTAGGATAATAGCGCTGACGGTTCGTACTCCGAAAGCGCAAGTGCTTAAGGAACGGATGACAAGCTGACAGGGTGTTGAGAATGAACTGCGGCAAGTAGTAGCCAAAAAAACGTTCTAAGTGACGAGAATGACTCCAAAAGCAGGCGAACTTGGGTCACTCGTTCCCAATAGATTGCTGGTGGATTTGGGGCTTCACGAAATGAACGGAGACTTCTGTCTGTTAACTTGGGATTACACTGAGAGATGGAAATCTCCAAAGACATGAGGCATCTTAAACGACCAGTGAGAAGAGGGCCCAAATTGCTCCAATCTCCATTAAGCAACGACAAGGAGTGCAGGGCCTCCCACTGTAGACCCTCTGCCCATAAAAGGCTCTAAGATCCACTAATGTGCATGTTGACAAGATGAAGATGTTTCAACCGCGGTAAAGTGTCACCTTTCTGCAAAGTGATGATTCCTCGCTCGGTCTTGGAAGATTTCCATCTCTGCACGAGCTTCAGTGTCTCCAGATTTGGACTGGCACAGATGATATCTTTCAGGTGGGTTTGATACCTGCTGCGAAGCTTTGTTATAGGATCATATTCGCTGTCCCACTGTGAGGAGAGGTATCGAAGACACTGAAGATGAGGTATAGGCCGTTAAACGGGTTGACGGAGCCTCCTTCGCTGTGATAAACAGACATTTCTTCCAGTGATATGCACAGCGACATAAGGATAAAGCTGATAAATACTGAAAAGCAGAAAGCCAGGCATGTATGAGAAGTTTTTCCAGCTGTTAAAGTAATCATTTGCCAGCGCTTCTTAGCCATATCACAATTGACCTGGTAGAGTGTTGGTAAATTGAACTTACAAGAAAACCTGAAGTGATTTTGCTGCTTGGATGATTGTCAGCAAGCCAATTCTTCTCAGCCAAGTTCCAATATCAAACTCAAATGTGCCCGTTATGACAAGAACCTGAACATATTGATAGGGGTATGTCCTCAGTTTATCCCATTAAGCATATGGAAGATGGCTGAAATCCAGCCGAAGGGTTCCAAATAATAGAGAAGCAGCAGCTTGATGCAACTGGGGATTAACCAAAGCGATCCTCGTCAGTGACGAAGGATTGACGGACTGAAGCTTGAGAAAGGTGAGTAAATGGTCAGCCATGCGTGTTAAGGGACTTCTGACTCACTAGCTTCAGAATTTCCAGCCAGACCTCGATCGGTAGAACAAGCTTTCCCCTTGGCGATGACTCCATTCTTGGGTGCTTCTCACGCTCCACTGAACGGTAAAATACCATGACATAGGAGGCAAGCTTGAAAATTATGCCAATAGTCTCCCGGTAATAACTAGCAGCTCGCCCGATCTACTGACGAGCAGCTGACTGTTTTCTTCAAGTCAGTGCGCTGAAAGGAGATGATCACCTATGTAACGAAGATCCGAGTGATCCCGAAAATTCAAAATTAACAAGATGCAAGATTTCATTTGTCCCCTCGGTTCGGAGACACTAACAGCTTAGCTTCATGGAGTTACTTAAACTACAGTATAGTACGGAGTACGGATCGTTAGTTGTAATTTTTCCTCGTTTTTGGGACAAAAAACTCAGCCAATCTCCGGGTCGGCAATCCCGGGTGCCGATGCAGCCCTAACCAGTCAGCCTCGATCGGCCCCATGGAGATGAGAGAATACACAACTTCCTTGGCGATTCGTGCGTAGTGTTGGGTATCTAAGGAATGAAGTGAGGAATATCGGGGTAGACCGTTCTGACAGGGAAGTATATAAGACCAGGTCTCGATGAGATTCGGTCGTTGAACATTGCCAAATTTGATGTTCCGCTGTATACTGCAATCTTTCACATTTTTCCGCTCTTGCCACTCCAGACCCACTAATTACCTCGCTTCAGAGACAACAAAAGCTTAGCTTCACTTCATGATTTTACTCAACTATCGAACATCGATCGTTTCGTCGCATACCAGTGCATACAGTATTCAACTCACCTGTCAAATTTTTCTCGCTAAACCAATATGGTTTTGTATTTTCCAGTAAATACGGCCTAGGTGCCATTGCCGCTTTTATAGTGTGAATGGACAGGCAGCAACCTTGAAAGGCTCCTCTAGCCCATAAAAACTAATCATTAGCTATATGTTGACCTAAATTCCAGTCCCGAGGTCTAACCTTCATCTTTACTTTGCCAGAGAGAAAAAATCATACCTCAACCGCATCACCTCTTAACCCCTTCTTATACGACACCATCTACCATGAAGTGGGACAGCCTTCCTATTCTGCTTTGTGCCACCATGGCCCTGGCTGCCGAAGCCACCATCGATCCCCCTCCCGAATCACTACTGGTCTGGCCAACATGGGATGTGGACGCTATCAATAGCGCTGAGCCAACTGCATGGGCCTCATCGTTCGAATATAACTCCGCTTTTGACAGGTCCGTGGAACTGGAAATGCTCGAGGGCACCATGCCAGCTTGGTACAATAGCCTGCCAGAGAGCGTCAAGGCTTTCGAATCCACAAGGAATGTTGCTCTTGAATCCTGGGCCCTTGCGCATAATTCGCATTGGTACACCAATGAGGCTTGGTATACGTCTACCTATCCCACTGCCACTGCCCCGACCACTGCAACCGCTACCGCTACTGTTGCGACTGCAACTTCTTCCTCATCCATCGGTCAGGGAGTGTCGGCTCCTGCTAATGGAGTGATGATGCCCATGGCTGGTGCGGTTGGCATTCTGTGTATTGCCCTTGCTCTTTGAATGGAATCATGGAACCCAGAATCGGCGCGTCAGCAGTCAGATCTTATGACCAAATACTTCGCATTTGGACATTCTCATTTTGAAGGCCGGTGCTGTTTTGTAGGAAACATATTTCCACAAAGCAATAACTTTTGTCAGGCTCCGGAGACTCGGTATTTATTACAAGTAGGCACCGGGCCGCGGGGCAGTAGTATATTATGTTCAGCTTGTCATCGTGCTCATGTACATAGTGCTTGGATCTATTTGCTTATGTATTCATGGCGCAATCTTCAGGTCGATGAGTATTTGAACTTCCTTTTCATCAATTCCTGGATCATGATTAAGACGTTCCGATACGGCATCAGCGCCTTCTCGGCCCTTAGCTCGGCAGTCGAGGTTGCTGTCTCGAATGCTACGCGAGAGCTAGGTAAGCCAGATGTCCCACTTATGAATAGTGCTATTAAGGTTATGGTAAACATTATTCTCGACTTCCTAATCTTATCGATATTCCGCGTTAGTATATAGACACTAGGTACTAATAAGTCCGAAATCGGTTTACGTACGATGTAGTTACTACTATCTCTAGTCTACTCTATTTTTTTCAGTATACTCTCGAACCTTACCCGCGATATTAATATTAAATTAATAAGGTAATAGTTAAATCTATATAATATACTTAGTTAGAGTAGTTGTTGCCTTATTAAAATAGATAGATTTAGGTTAATATAATAGAAGATACTAGTAGGATTCTTGGTTAGACATTTATTATCTATACTACTCGGGATCTAATTCGCTAATTAGGCGTTTAGGTAAAGGGGCCTCAGGGGGCTAAGAATTAAAGCGATAAGGCTAGATATCCCAACGAATAGTAAAAAACGAATAAAAACGGATATATTATAGGTATACTATAGTAATACTCACCTAGCGCCCACATTCAGTCGGAGGTGGCTCGCCGCTTTATATACTTGAGCTTTAGGCGGCTTTAGGGGGTATGCCGTTCACATACCTAAAAATTCTTTATCTAAAGGGGTGAAGCCGTTTCATAATTATATTTTTCTGTGTCTCTATCAAGGGAAATATTTCGCGAGACGGGAGCAGATACCATGTCCTTCCCTTTAATGCATTTGCTACTAGTTGCCCTTACCCTTTTCTATACCTCCGTTGATCTCCTACCGTGTCGCTAAGAGATTGACAAATACTGGGTCAGAAATTTCACAAGATTGATCCATGAAGCCTCCTTAGACACAAATAAATCACTCTATATTGCACACGTCTAATGCTAGTCGAATCCCCGCGGTCAAACACGGGCAAGAAGACGGCAATCATGCGCCTCGGATCTTATCTATCATCAATCCGGGTTCATCGCACTGAGATCCCTGCCAAGCAATGTACTGATCAGGTCTAATTATCGTAAGCTCCGCTAAATACTTCGTTCGAGCAAGTGACGCAGAAGAGGCAATACATACTTTAAACTTCCTGCAAGAACATCTTCATTCCGCGGATGACCTATCAGTTCGCTGGAAGTGGGAGCCCGACAGTGTCGCATTCTGGGATAATCGTGTCGTCGTTCATCGAGCTGTTCCTGGAGGTTACAATGTCGAAGAACGTGAGGGAAAGCGCACGGCTATCTATGGAGAGAGACCATTTTATGATCCTAAGGGCCAGGGTCTCAGCGTGTGGAATGAGACCCATTCTCTTTAATAAAGGCAATGCTGGATATTTTGCAAACGAATAACAAAAATGCATGATCAATGATTTAAAAACATTGACATACAACAGCCAGGATTCGCATGTGGTCACCCACCATACTACTAACTGGCCGGCGTGTGGCTTAAGTACGGCTGAGCGGACGGGAAGCCCTGTTCTCCACACCCTATGGTCGTATGTGCTAGAAGTTTGCTGAAAATTGAAACATATCCTCTCATGCTTCTATTTACAGTACATAGAGGTGAGTGCGCAATAGACAGGGTGAGAACTAGCGTGAGAACTAGCGTGGGACCGCGTGAGCATCACACTCTTTTAAGCGATCACCGCACTGACCAAGGCTTTGGCGGATGACATATCTAACGAATGAGAAAGGTCGGTGGATATGTCGTTCAATACCTGCCATTCAACAACAGCACGTTGAGTTGATAAGGCTGGATCGCGGCGGTTGGAGACGCAGCGGGTTCAAAATAACGGCGCTAATCTGTTTTGGCTACGCGGCGCGACGCGCGGCGGGCCGCAGGACCCGCCACGGCGCCCCCCGGGGTTCCGAAAGTGGATTTTGAATCTTTGATATACAGAGCTTAGAAGCACTGCCATCACACTGTACAGTCCTTAATTTATTCTCGTGTCTGGTAAAAATCGCATCGAGTAGCGGGATAAAGAGAGGAAATTGAAAGTAGGGAAGCGATTAGATGAGAGAGACGCTCTCATATGACAAGTGAATTGATCTAATCGGGCCACAAGCAAAAGATTTAGGGTGATATTAACGACACGACAGAGAAGTTCATGGCACGACGAGGCTAGTCCTAATAAGGAAACCCTCCCTTTCAATATAAAGTGCTACATTCGAAATTCACGGAATACCTACCGAGTCATTATGTAGAATTAATATTGATTTTTCTCGTTAAAATCTTTAGCGACTGTACACGCGACCTCTGTCTAGTTTTCCCTATAATAGACTAACTTATTATTCTACTTCCCCTCTTCTAACACCCTTTTTACGGTCTTTTCTATAGTCTTTTTAATGGTCTTTTTAATGGTCTTTTTAATGGTCTTTTTAATGGTCTTTTTAATGGTCTTTTTAATGGTCTTTTCAATGGTCTTTTCTAAGATAGGGCTATACATCTATATAGACTCTACTAGTATTTTGTAAGTCTTTAATGTAGCATTCTGTATCGAAGGGGGGGCATTCCTTATTAGGACTAGCCTTGTCGTGCTATGAACTTTTCTGTCGTTTCGTTAATATCACCCAAGATTTAACAATTACGCCGCCGCGCGTGATGCGAGCCTCGGGCATCTGGAGCTCATCTCCAACAGAAACTCGGAATTTACACAAAGGGCTTCCACTGCTTCTCACACCACTCCCAAAATCGTGTCGGATATCCAAGTCCCCCATCCTTGATCGAAGCCATGGCCGTGATGATATCTCGTCGTGGGCAATCCTTATCCGGTGGAATTCTTCCCCAGGGAATAACATAGGCACCATTGTTCTCAAGGGTGATCTCAGGTGATAGACCGGCGTATAGCTCAGTATACGCCCCAAACTTAGCCTCATGAAGCAACGGGCTAATGAAAAATATGTCAACTGCCCCAGTCCCTGCATAGGAGCCCGCATTCAGATTGCCTGGGTTCTGCACCACGCTCACAATGTTATCTTGCTCAAGTTGGGATCGTCGGGCCAACTCCCCTCCCAGCATCCAGGTTCCCACCTTCGAGACAGCATAGTTGCGAGTACGATCTTTCGTTCCCTTATCTAACGCAGCGAAATCAATCCCGTTCGCTGGCGAGCCGCCCTCCGCCAAAAAGCTGGAGGTCCACACTACGCGAACGGATCCACGAGGTGTCTCGGGCGCTGCTGCGGCTGCCCGTAGCTGCGGTCGTACGAGCTCGGTGAATAGCAAAGTCGCGATACAGTGCATCCCCACCATTGCCTCGAATCCCTGGGCTGTCTTCGCACCGGCTTCTACCATGTTCGCTCCAGTTCCCGCGTTGTTCCAGAGAACATCGAGCTTTGATTCTTGTTGAGCGAAGGTAGTGGCCGCCACCTTGACTGACTCGAAGTCGTTGAGGTCGAGATGGAGGAATTTGATCGTGCCGGGCACCTTCGGCGCGGGTTGAGCCTTGACAATGGATTGAATCGCGGTTTCAGCACGCTCCTAGTAGGGAAGCGGTGTTAGCTCATTGGTAGGGTCCAGATCTCAGAGGGCCGAGGTGGGATTGGGAGATTTGTCACTTACCTTGGATCTGGATGCCATATAGATAGTGGCCCCAGAGGCATGTAGGATCTTGCATAATTCAAATCCGACGCCGGCATTGCCTCCTGTCACAATAAATACCCGACCTTGCTGTAAAGGCAATTCTTTCTCAGTAAACGCCGCGTCAGGCGGGAACCACTGGGTGCGAATGTTGCGGAGGGAGGTGAGCGCCATGACCGGATAAGTGTATTCCTGATAAAGTAAAAAGAACAAAAAAAGCTCGATGACAAGGTAAAGGTAACCTTTATTGTTGAATCCACGGGCGGCGGCGTTAAAGAATACAAATGATCACTCTCTTCCACACGGTATTCTGTTTTCCTTCAAAGCGGAGATTTAAAATACTAATACCATAGAATAAGTCTGCGTCACTGTGTCTGTCTCGACGATTTATATAGATTCTCGGCCCGCCCCGGGTGGAGTTGATCTGTTCTTTGTTCCCCGTGCACGCTCAGCCTGGTCGCTGACACTGTATACCGCTGGCGAATCAGTGGCTTCCACTTACAGGGATCATGCGGACGAAAGACCTCCGTCCGGCTGATAAACCGACCAGGCACATGGCTGTTCCCACGACTCGGAACTTTTCAACTCACTTTTCTGGTTTTCAAAAAAGGACCCACCAGTTGTCATCGACGAATGATAAATGTGAATGATCGCGTGAAACCACCACCCGGTCTCTAGAAACTGGCAATAATTTTCTCGCGCCTTCTGCCCTATGCATCTACCAAGCTAGAAGAGTCAAGTATGCTAATAATCTTCCGAATACCGAAATAGAACGGATAACATAGCATATTGGAATGAAGTAAAAGAAGAAAGAAACAGAATTATGTTAAAAACCACGCGGTTATTGACAAATTCCCGTCTCTCCTCGTACCTATGTAGCTTAATGAACTTGTCACTTTTGCTACGACCTTCTCGCAAAGAGCGATAAGCGACGAAGCGTTCAGAATATCTAAGTTGGTTACTAAAGCCCTAGGCTCGGCCCGAAGCTAGTTTCGCACCCCCACGGCAGCTAGGGAATCAATACCGTAAATTGATAGAGGTCGTCTGGTATCTATGGCCTCCGAAAGCCGAAGGACCCTCCGAAAGCACTTATTGACTACCTCCACAGTCGCTGTAAGCTGCGCTGCGTGATCCGGGGATTTGGATCGAAGCAGCAGTAGCAATGCCTGAACGTCCTTCGAACCACACGACTCGCCCTCTCCACCGCCGGCCGCTGTGCGCCTACTGGTGGTAAAGAGACTGGTGAATCGGGCGTTATGTAATAGCTGCAAGTGCTCGGGTTGAGGTACCGGGATTTTAGTGATTACTTGCGTGTTGGGGAGTATTGATAGCGCATCCGGCTGTTGCTGCAAGATTGGGAAATAGAGGATGCAACGTAAAAGACGCTTATCAATACCTACCTAGATGCTGGTGACCAGCCTCTGCTGTATGCCATCTCTGTCGTAGATGTAACCTATATCTTGAACCACTCCGAGGTCGACAGCACAGGCCAGTCGGCCTAGGCGACAGCGGTAGCTAGCGAAGGAGTCTAGGAAAGCATTACTAGCGGCATAGTTGGCTTGACCTTTTTGGCCGACGATTCCTGAGATGCCGGACAACATGGTGAAGAAATCTAATTGGAGGCCAATATGTTCAGCGGCGTGGTGCAGGTTCCATGTTAATTGGACTTTGCATGCTAGCGCACCGTGGTATTCATCGACAGATATGGAGGAGAAGGTTCGATCCTAGATGTGTAAACCATCAAGTTAGCTCTCCACCTTGACTTGGGTATTAATCCTGATATAATCAGTTGATAATCAATCGTCTTCCACGTAGCACCGTTGCACTTTGAACAATACCTCTAATGGGCACCGTAGTCTGGCTGAAAGCTTTCTCCACGTCGCTCATGACTGAAACATCCGCCGAGAGAAGGTCAATCTAGCACCCTGAAGCCTATATTTCTCTGACCACACCCTATGACTTATCATGAGTGTGACCGCTACGCGAGATCACTGCCAAGTGCTTTGCACCGCAGTTGGCCAGATATACTGCGAGGGAGGCGCAAAGACCCTTAAGGCCACCGACAATCAGGTAGCATGCGTCACTGCGCAAGCTCAGGGCTTTGGGCGTTCGTCGGACCTGAATGTATCAGCACGGTAATCCCAAAGATAAAGGAGTACGCAAGGGAAAAAAGGTCTTACTGGAACTTTGACCACGGCCCTATGGTCGTATTTGCTAGTAACCCGATTGCAGCAAGACATATGCTTTGCAGCAAAAGCAGAATTCCGTGTTCTATTCTCACGAAAATGCAACATCAAAACGATTCCATCTGATTTCTGCTTTGCCTTACACTCAACATTTGATCAGGATGTGCCCTCATAGAATATGGCGAATCGATTTTCCTTTAGCGAGGATAAGGCCTTACCATGGTGTGCGGGCTCAAAGTGGAAATCCGGAACCGCAAGACCGCAACTTTTGTACCTTCACAGGCCTAAATGAATTAGATGAAAAAGCTTGAATAACCCGACATTGACCTGCAAATTTTCTAACTTGATCCTCGTCTTTAAGATGATACCTTGCAAGCTTAATTCAAGTTCTCAGGGAAAAAGAAAGGAATCAACAATCCTCTCGGGTTAGTTCATAGTGCTTCGTACCTTCAATCAACGACTATATTCAGAGTACTCATTAATGTCATGATCAAGATTAGCGTTTAAAGGAATTTCACACAAATGATTTTTAGGGGTGCCTATCTAATAAGAAAAAGATATTATGACCGTGCAAACGACTGATTGGAATGACTCAATAAAGTAAATGGTAGAAAACATGAAGACAGCGCGTTCAAAGAGCTAACATTTTCGCGCGTGTCCCTAGTTATGAGGTCGAATAACAGATGATCAAATAAAATCATTTAAAAGGTGATTGAAACCTGAGTCTTTACTAGGAACAATCATGGAACACAGAAAGGTCAGAATGAAGGGGCGCACAGCCACCCGACCGGCAAGAGACGGGGACATTTGAATTCTTGAGCCTCATGGTAAGTGGGGCCGCTGAGTGGTAAACAAATCAAGGATATCTTAACGCTGATAGGCCGCCGAAATACGGGGCCAAGAAAAAAAGACAGAAATTGTGAGACACAGAACCATTATTGAAAGCCATTAGTTCTTGGCCATGTTCTCGTGAGTCATTGCGACTGGTTGCGGGGGCTGGATCTGTCCGGGCGCTGTGACCACCGGGTTCTGTGGTAAGAACAATTGCACTTGGCCGTCGTGTGGCCGGATGGCCACTTTTTGGTTACAGTTTGAGCAGAAGTGGTGGCTGTCATGGCACATTTCCATACAGTAGGGGAGGAAGGCACAGATGATGCCGCCGAACAGACAACAACCGACTGCTGCCATTCTGCGAGGCGTCAGTATATGGAAGAAGAATTTGGAGATCAGTATTCGTGGGCTCGGACTCACCCTGTGGCACTGGTGCTTTCTTTCTGAACTCTTGTCATGGCTTGGTGGTGGCAGAAGGGGCAGTTGACCAAGCGTGGCTCTTCACCCAGTTGGTTCAGTTCGACTGTTCTCTGGGCAATGAGACCTTGTCCTGGCTGGGGAGCTGGGGTCTGCGTGGCAGTCTGCCATGCGGTCTTTTCAAGAGGAGGCGAGGTCGCGGCGGTGGACGTAACTTCTGGCGCTGGCACGACTTCTTTATCATGTCTGTAGAAAGTGATTAGCGGATGTCATTGTGATCAAGTTGGGAAGCATACTCTTCGTAGCTTGGAGGCTGAGCTTCACTGGCAATGTCCCGTACTGATTCACCTGCTGGCGGAGTGATGATATCGTTGTTGATCGGAGGTGTAGGTGTCGCAGAGCTCACAGTGTGAGGTGTTTCAGTAGCTTCAACTGGCGGGCTGACCGCAGTTGAGTCCTTGTTATGTTCCATAATGGGTATTGAACGTATCGACGGGCAGAACGAAGGACAAACAATAATCTGGAGAAAATACAATTTGACGAGGGGCAGGCTCTCTTCTTCTAAGGGTCAAATAGAGTGCATGAGAATCAGAAGAATTGGCATTTGGCCCCAACCCCAGTCCCAATACGGAAGTTAGCCCCGTAGATCGAGTCAAAAACACGGGCGCATAGCCCACTCCCCTGCTGGCTTCGGGGGCTTCTTAGTGAGCCTCGCATGGAACATCAGCGAATGAGCGAAGACTCAACACGAGACCCTCATACCATCGCTATGATTGCTTGGGTGGCTGAGCCGCAAGATAGTTAGTTACGCCGTTAAGTTTCATCGGGAGTTCTCGTCTACACGGGCACGCTACATTTTCTGTCGGAGCTAACTCGTCCTATGAGAATGGCCTTTAAGCACACGCAGTCCATCTCATGTACTGGCACCGGCATCAATATGGATTGTCGATTGTATGAGTCACTGTAGACTATCCATTGGATGAAAGAAAATTTAATGCAGTGTCCTCGTGGTGAGGAGGTTCGAAACTATTCTGGTAGACAGTGTACTGTATCTAATGCAAGTCTAAATATATCTTACGATCGGCTACGTATGTATGAACATTCGGGCTCACGTGCCCTGGATACGATACTGACAGAAGACACAAATCAATTCGTGACAATTCAAGAACACTAAAAAACAATCATTTCAGAATAGAAATGAAAAATGGGGGGAAAATAGAGAAAAAGAAGAAGATGGTGGGAGGGAGGGACAGTTGGTAGTGCCCAGTGGACGGGAAAAAAAAAGATAGCAAACCCTGGTTTCGATCCAGGTACCTTCGGGTTATGAGCCCGACGCGCTTCCTATGCGCCAGCTTGCTAGGCGATGGAGATTTTTGCTGAATTGTGCTCTATATATCCTAGGTTTGTAATAACTGTCTTGGGATTCCGACCGTAAGGGCATTTGTCCAGGACCAAAATCATTGGATGCTATCGATGAGGGCTATCAAGATCTTACCAGTTGATTTAATATCACACTCAATGCAATAACGAAAAATGTTGAATTCTTACTCTCAATGAGCCGATAAGAACATATGATCTATATACGACAGTTGGCTTTGCCAAAGGACAAGCACCATCCAAAGTGTAAGTAGCAGAGAATCGAAAATCTAAATATGTATGTAGCACAAAGACACGCTGAAGCCGAAATCATTATGTCGTGAAAGCCTCGATGCCCAGTCCATGTCTATACCCAACAATCCAATCCCTTTCTCCTGTTGAAGAGAAAAAACTTTCCGTCTCAAGGACTCAAGTGTAAATCAGAGTCGTTCTCGATGATTCACTTGGTTGATCCCACAGCTCGTCGGCTTAGGTTGAAGCACCTTTTCTTTTAAGGCGCTCAGTGCGCTCGTGTCGCCATCCTGCACCCCATCGCATCTCCACTGCCAGCAAGGGGACCATGAGTAATGTGATGCCGGCGAGAAGCAAGAAAGTCCATCGAGCTGTGAGGGCGTCGATCATGGGCTGGATAACAGAAACACCGGCTGCACCAATCAAGCATCGCATCAGATTATTGACTGCGGTCGCACTGGCACTGGCTCCGGGGTAGAGATCGATAACAAGAGCGCTGTTGATGGTGAAAATAGCAGTCGCGCAATACGCGAGGATATACTGGAGGATAACGGGAATTGCGAGATGGGTTTTAAGAGATACACCGTACACGGCTGTACACACGATGAAGAGGGCTGTGATCCACCAGGTGTTGCGCATGCGAGCGTACTCGATCGGGAAGTCGGGATGAGTCTTGGTTGTGATGCGACTTTCGAGCGGGAGGTTATGTTTGATGCAGTATTCACGCTCCGTTCTCTTGTGGTTGAAGTCCATCAGGTAGCCGATGGTGTATGATCCAGACATACAGCCAAACCCTGAGAGATGTTGTTAGAAAATAGATTCCAACGTGACAGAGTAAAAGGGTACTTACCATTTCCCAGGAAGGTAAGGCCAACCTCTAACGTGTTGAGCCCGTAGGTGGATTCAAACAGATCGGAAGTGGACGAAGTCACCATAGACCAGACCGTATACACGATTGCACCAAAGGACAAGGTGATGAAGACGTCTTTCTCACCCAAAAACCCAAGAGGGGCCACCACTGTCTTGAAAGTGACCTTTTTCTTCTCCGCAGATGGTAATGCGCCTTCCTTGGCATGCTCCTGGCCAGTGATACAATATATCCAAGGTTTGTAGATTCCGTGCAGGGGAACGGTGCCATTTCCAGCGACGGTACGGAGGGTTTCGGGGAGGAAGAAGAGAATGGAGAATAGACTGAATCCAGATAGAATAATAAGGAACCAAAAGATGGATCTATAGCCCAAATACTCAGATAGAATGCCTCCGAAGACCGGACCAATTCCTTGACCAAGCATACGGACTTGAGAGGAGTTAGTAACTTTAAGATGGTATATTTCCGGATTTTGTTCGTTAATGACTTACCTCCACCGAAGACTCCAACTAAGCTTCCTCTCTCAGCTGATGTAGTGATATCTCCAATGACGCCAGCACCTGCAGTTTATGAGCTAATAGTTCTGAATGAGAAGGGGAAGAGAATTTACCGATTGAGATAGTCGCCGCACTACCGGCAGCTTGAAGAGCACGAAAAGCCATGAGCTCTCCATAATTGTTTGAGACTCCCAGTGCAATGTTTGCAATAATGTAGACAATAAAGGTTCCGATAAAGATCACACGTCGACCGAGAACGTCGGAGAAGGTGCCCCAGAAGCTAGGGGCAAGTCCTTGAACAATCATATAGACTGTCACGGTTAGGGTAGTGAGTGAAATAGAGACACTCAATTCCTAGTTCACCAGGTGGATGGGTTAGCCCCGTGAAAATCAACTTTTTTGGAGGGCGGATAGCTAGTCACCTTTGATATGAGCCCAAGGGCAGGGAAATAGATATTAGAAGATAGAGGGGAGAAGATGGCAGCGAGGGAAACAATGTAGACCATCCGCATTTTGCGGGACCGAGAAAACACATGGTATGGTGGAGGCGAAGGTATTTGGCTCTCAATATTGATAGAATTAGACGATGGCGTGGAAAGCTGCTTCTCATCCTGAGCCGAAAGACTGGGACTAGAAGCAACGGAGCTTTCTGTGACTTGGGGCTCTTTCCCAGTATCCGAAAATTTGGTGGATGACATCTTGGAGGAGGGTTTGAAAAGAAACAAGACTATGGCAGCATAACTCGGTAGAATAATAATCAATATAGACAGGAAGAATTAGAATTTTTGCTCCGTTGGCCCAAATTATTTCTCTGGCTCATGTCTCAAGATTGGAATGGTACGGGCTTTTTGTACTGGCGTCAGCGCTGAGTCCCCCTGTTAGAAAATGCCCGAAAATATTAGACAGGTCTATGGATCCGAGAAGAGTTAAGGCAATGTGCTCCACTGTGGATTCTGCCTAGAGGACAACCCTCTCCCATCACCTTGGCAAGTAGGTGGCAAGGATCGGACGAAGACGGTAAAACCGGACGCTGCTCAGTCTATGACAGATAGATGCTGATCAGCGGGTTCAAATTCTAGACTAAATGCTTCTGGATTCCTAGTACGTATTCCGTAATAGGGACCGTCGTGAATTACAATTTAGTTGCTTCGAAAAGCCGCACATATCCATATTCTAACCTCTGGCCTTGAACACCCTCTTCGTAAACACAGACAAATATGACGTCTCAGTATTCGTTCGAGCACGGTCACTGGAAGTTCCCTCATATTGAATAATAAGCTTCGTGGCTGAAATGCCACCGCTAGGTGGAAATTCTTTCTACGGTCATCGCACGCGTGTCCTACGTATCGACTATGAAAAGACCTATCTGCATAGAATGTGCGCCACACGGGCACTTCTGAATCATGAATCAATCTGTTACGAAAGGAATATATTCTCCGAGATCAAACATCCTGATCTCGCCGGCCTCTTACTCTTTCATGCATGGTCCAAATCTGCACGATAAGAGGGTGGTAGTCTGGTAGAGGCAGAAAGCCAATCGTGAAGCAATCTCCCGGTCTTAGCGAAACCAGCATATTGCACATGGGCGAAGATCGTACATCGGGTAGGACTGATGCTTCCTACCCACTGTGATGATCTGGAAGTAGTCAAGAGTTAAGCAAATGCCAAGAATGTCCCCCTAGTACCGCCCTAAGAAACCATGTTTCAGGGGAAGTGAAGCAAAGGAAAATTGTTTAGTTCATACTCTAACTAGTACTCCGTATTTACGTAGCTTAGGTAGACTGACTCCTATTATGGATTTATTTGCTGTTATTGCTTTTGAAGAGAATCTCGAAGTATAAGGGATGGGTTGCTGCCCTTGCTGCTTGGGCACTGATCGCCATCGAATCGGGACCACGAAAAGGCTGGAAGGAGCCAGGGTCCTCATAATAATCCAATGACGATGCACCCACGACCAGATAAGCGTACGAGGCTGTACCCGCCCGCTAACGCGTCCAATGCATCTGCAATTTCATTAAATCCAGACATCACTGATGGAGTGCTAAGGGCTAGGAATGCGCCCCCGACCTCCGACTAGCCGGCTATGATCGACCATCGAACGGCCCCTATGTCGCCATTGGAACAATGGTGCCAATCCTCAACCGTCGATCAGCCCCACCGAGTTCATCTTTCGGCTCCCCTTGGCACCACTGCTGCAGCACCCGACAGGGGCGTGCTGTCTACAAGCCCCCATGGTGCTGATAGCATGTTTGCTGACTGCTCCATGATGCTCCAAAGTTTATCATGCTCCTCCCCGGGTCCGACCATTACTGGCCTCACATAGGGCACCTAACAGGGGTTATGAACGATTTACGAAGCTTAGGAGAAGGTCTGTTCGTTCCTTGTCTGCCCGATCATCGTCGGCCGGAAAACTCGGCGGATGTGATTTGTCTATGCCACCCATTTCGTCGGAGGATTCCTGTTTTCCTACCTCGGGCAGAAGAAGGGTATATTCTCCAAGGCTTATAGGGCTTTTGTCTTGGCTGAAAAGCCACCCAAGCAGCCATTTTCGGGCATCCGATTTTCCAGTTCGAGCCAAGACCTCTCCCGATGCTTTCGCCCGGCCTCGTTCCCCCGCCCGTGCCCGTAATCGCGACCGTCCGCCGAGATGATCCCGTGTCGGGTAGCCGACTGCAACCTTCTCATGCATGGTCAATAACGACAGCGACAAACCATTGGCCTATTGACATCGTCAGCGTGAGGAATACCCGATATCTCCACCCGGGATCACCGTTGGAATCTGGACCTTGGACTCGCTCAGATGCATCGCTTTGGAGGAGCGTCACACCATCGCCCGGAAGAGAACAAAGCGGTTGGACATCCTGTTGAGCCGGCAGATTTACAAGGTAGTCAAGATTATAGATCGCTAGGCCAGGCGGTTTTGACTTCATCAGATGCTCGAAAAGGAAACGAACCCGTGCTGGGTTCTCGAAAAGTCTCCACCAGCTGCTCTGGTCTCCGGGATCTACGGTGGCGGCCCTGACATATAACTGGTCACTCACCCTCTCATATATCGATTCTCGCCCACGTTATCTTTCCAGATTAAACAATTGCGTCCAATGGCACAGAAAATGCTTTACATCCCGTTTCGGCTCTCGCAGAAGTGCAGTCGTGGTGGAGTTGCCCTTCTCGTTCCATCAACCGACAGCTGATTAACTTTTCTGTCCCTGGCATTCTTCAAGGTTGGCATTGAACCCGGGCGCAAAGGTCGGCTGCAGAAAAGCAATTCGTCATCATGACTAGAGAATGTTCTGCATATCCGGCAGACACTAGTACGGAGTAGTAGTTAGTAGATTCACCATCCACGGGTTACGTAGCACACCCCTCACGAGAACCTACTTGGCATCACAGGCTTTACTTTGAGAGGTACCTCCCGGATCTTGAAGCAAGAGACATACAATGAAAGTAATGCCGGTCGAGAAAGCAAAAGAGATCGCCTTTCGAACATTGGCATGGTACAAACTGCGGGGATAACCACCAAACAATTCAGGTTCTAGACCATGAACCGAGATGGTCTTCGAGCTAAATATGACCGATCCTCTCATAAATGGATCTACCAATCTTCCTGATATCCATAAGAAGGTCTTGATTGACCCACCCGTGCTGTTTTTTTCAATAAAACCCTCCGGCCATTTTCTTCGCAGATTAGCACAGCCCCCTTGGGCTGGAAACCCACTGTGGTGGTCAATTTTGATCTAGTAGACCTAGAGGCAAATCTATTTAGCCCCTTAATCACTGCTCAAATTTTATGCACGGAGTATATGGACTATAGAATACCCCGACATGGTCGGAGGCGCTATGAATATGGATGAAGATGATCATTCACGAACATCTCGGAATTTCCTATCTCAGGGAACTCATCTCTTCTCGCGTTCTACTCCAGACTTACCTCATTTCCATGACGCCAAGCAAGACAACAGACTGGGCAGAGCGGAATGAGAACTGCTTATCTCTTGGCCAAAGTGAGCTCATCTACACCCAAAATTCAGATCTACCAACAGCTCTTGGCAGACGGAGTCTCATTATTACCCCAGGGCTGGGTCTTTCCGCTCAACGTTGAACAGATCGACTTCTTCTTCATGCGACCGGTTCCACCCATGCAAATCCCAAGAGAAAGGGAGATTAGGGAGGCTTCCGAGTCGACGCCCTACAAAGCTTTCGGAATGCCCCTGATCGTCCTTCATGATGATCACCAGTGGGCCGGGCCGATGATGCGTTTGGAATGTTTTCCAAATGAGAAACATCGTTGAGGACCGTGGAGACGTCACCGCTGGAGAAGCATGTGCGCAGTTGCCTGGCAGGGCTCCGAGAATTTCCCTGATGATCATGGGCCATGGAATAATCTCGACAGTGCAGCTTGGCGATGCTCATGTCACTACTAGTCTGTCAGCACTTTCCAATGAGAAGGTACGAAGCAGGGACGATCACTCTCAGCTCCCCCTTGATGATAACACCCAACTTGCCAAGCCATTATTATTAGGCTCGAACTTGCGCACGCCGATCACATCTCACCCAAGGCCCGCCGTCGGAGAGCGGAGACATGGTAGGTACGGAGTATATGTTTTGATCTCGTTTTCTTGGCGTCCGGTGGAACTTCGTCTGGGCAGCAGCTGTAGCTGTACGGAGTAGTTGCCTATCCTGGGGGACCCATATCTATCCGCCGCTAGGGTACGATGCTAATGCGTGATGAATCCTGCCGAAATGGCTACGAGTCCCTATCGGGCTCCAGACTCAACTCGCTATCAACGAGATAATCTCAAATTGATGAACAGCAGCTGATCTCGGTAGCTTCGGAGAATCGAATACCCCGCAACAAGCATGGCATCTGCAATGCAGTGGAACCTCTCAGGACCGGTTTGGAGGACCTTGGCAACAAACGGAAGTGACTTGGAAGGCGCTCTCACAAATATGCACCTACCGACTCGTTTTGTGTAGGTTTTCATACGTGCACATGAGATTACTGCATGATGCACAACGGCCAAGCTGTACGGTGCCTAATCGGGTCCTCGATGCCGACGAAACAATCGGTGACCAGCACGACAACGTCGTGATCGGAATTTAGATGCGTTGTTCCCGGAGAATCCTCCTCTTATTGATTCTTTGACGTTCCCAGTGCGTTCCGAGTGGTAGGGCTGGCAACAAATCGACGCATTTGAGTTCTATCCGTAGGAGCAAATGCAGATTACCTGTATCCAACTAATTTTGGCCAGATTTTCAAGTTTTTGGCACGGCTTCCCCGCAAGAAGTCCTATTTAGAATGACATTCAAAATGCAAGCATCCTGTCGTCATGATGTCCAACCCCTCCGGAGTGCAAATTAGGCTTTTCTTCCCCTCACGTTCACAAATTTGCCGACGAATAGAAGAACCTCACTGGCCAACAGAGGTAGTTGGCTGGATTCAAGTTTGCACTGATCTAGACCTGTTTTCTATTTGAAAGCTGAAGTGTCCGTGGGCATGTTGTGGCGGACTACCCAGGTTTTTCTCAGATTCTCGTACAACTACCCGTTACAGCATAATGGCCCATCTACAATTCTACAACTATGAAGGTGTTGGCGAGAAGAACCAGCAAGACTACTGGTATAGTCAAGCTGTCCGGATTGGTGATCGCATCGAATGCGCCGGTCAAGGTGCGTTAGTCGCATTTATTCTATACAAAGCTATGGGACTGAGATATTTCATGACAGGTGGCTGGGATCCTAAGTCCGGAGAGATCTCCCAAGAAATTAATGCCGAGATCGATCAGGCCTTTGAGAATGTCGACCTCAACCTGAAGCACGCCAGCGGAACCGGCTGGGACCAGGTATTCCGGGTGAATTCGTACCATGTCCCGATGGATAATGAAGCACTTGGGGCCATGGTGCGCAACTTCAAGAAGTGGATGCCGGGACATCAGCCTATCTGGACCTGTGTTGGAGTGCCGAACCTCGCCCAGGACAATATGCACGTGGAAATCGAGGTGGTGGCCCATGTCCCCTAATCGTAACGATTGGATGGAGGGTCAAAGGCCAGCCTTTGATGATGGGCGTGAGAAGGTCTGCCGGGACAGCACCGTAATGATTCATGACTGTACTTGCATGATGGGCGGGTAGACGAAGAGTCTTATACTGAGATAATCATCTCAGTAGCGACCTCTTTCGGCCTTTCCGCCACGTCCACCTCGTCCTCCACGTCCGCCACGTCCGCCACGCCCACCGCGACCGCCTCGGCTGCTGCGACCCCGGGAGCTTTGCATAGAATGCAAATCTTCCTTGCTCAGATTCAATGTACCTCCAGAGAATTTACCAATGGAAGATCCTCCAATACCGCGTTCTCTTCGCTTGTTGTCTGATTTGGTGACCTTGGTGGGCTTCTCAAGAATGATACCATTCTCCTTAGCCTCCCGCCGTCGCTTTTCGTCCCTTGAAATAGCCTTCGCTTTGATGCCTTGTCGGAAGGCATCGGGCATATTCTTCTGTTTGTAGAGAGATTCCTTGGCTCCGAGGTCTTGCATGCGTAGATCCAAAGCTTTCAGTCGGTTCTTGCCTGTCGGTGCGAGTTCAGACGCCGATTCGAGGAGATGGGATTCTCGAAGTAAACGTTGCAAGTCGAGGTCATGCTTCAGATTTAGAGCATCATTGGCGTCGTCGTCCGAGTTGTCCGTCTTGGTTGATTTGGTTGACTTGGTAGTCTTATTTTTCTCATCCGCGGAAGATGGGGGTTTCGCACTCTATTGTAACGGTGATTAGCTGGTGAGCCGAATACGAAAAGCTGTGAAACTCTACCATGAATGCCTTGCGCGCTTTTTTGTCCATCAAGTCGTCCACTCCAAGGCTGGTATCCTTATGTTCAACAACTTCGACCACGTTCTCTTCGTCGCTCTCTCCAGAGAGCCCATTCCAATCAGAATCAGGACCTGAAATCTCATCATCGTCCTCAATAATATCGTCGTCGCCAGCTTCCGGTTCTTCGGCACCACGCTTGGAAGGTACGTCGGTTTCAATGGGTTCGAATTGCGCCTCGAAATATTTGCGAAAGATGTCCTGTGCGTTATTCGCCGGTTCAGGGCTTGCCTCTTTGGGTTTGGTAGGCCGAGAGACAACAGCAGTCTCTCTCTTCCGTTTTCCGACCATGATGTGTGTGAAGTAAGAGAAAATTGTGGTGGAAACTTGGTGTCGCCTCGGCGATGCTCCCCCGAAGTTTTTTGGGGGACCAAGCTCGATATCACGTGCGATAAGGATAAGCGATAAGCCCCTCGACATCGGAGGTGCGGCGGAGGAACTTTGGCGTCACTACTCTTTGCACTCCGGGACTTGCGACTCGCGAGAGAAAAATGACCCAATTCCGGCCCTGCATTGACCTGCACTCGGGGCAGGTCAAGCAGATTGTGGGTGGGACTCTCAGCAACGTTGCCGAAGACCTGAAGACCAACTACGTCTCCAAGCTCCCCGCCAGCCACTATGCGGAACTGTACCAAAAGCACAATTTGCGAGGTGGGCATGTGGTGAAGCTTGGACCGGGCAACGAGGAGGCAGCACTCGAGGCAGTTCGAGCCTGGCCCAATGGGCTGCAAGTAGCCGGAGGAATCACCGATAAGAATGCGCAATACTGGATTGACCAGGGTGCCGAGAAGGTGAGTTGCGCCGCGCCATGTGTTGTGGTTTAGGCCCTCCTTTCCCCGTATTGTCTTTGCCGTCGCACAAAATTTCTCCCTGTTGCAGAATCCAGGCCATGTTTTGACGACGTTCGTCATGATCTTCAGTAATGACGCTAATCAACGGAATGCGGGACAATAGGTGATCATCACTTCATTCCTCTTCCCCTCGGGCAAATTCTCCCTCGAGCGACTGGAGTCGGTACTTGCAGCTCTTGGCGGAGACAAGTCGAAGCTGGTCTTGGATTTGAGCTGCCGGAGGAAGGATAATACCTGGTTCGTGGCGATGGACCGATGGCAGACCATCACAGAGATGGAAATCAACCAAGGCAAGATAACTAGCCAAAAGGCCAGAGGTGACAATTGACCAGCCCTTTCGACTAACTTTCTCGTAGAATCGATTGCACTCTTGGAGCCTTACTGTTCGGAATTCTTGATTCATGCTGCGGATGTGGAGGGTCTACAGCAGGGTGTCGACGAGGAGTTGGTGTCCAAATTGGCTGGATGGTGTACCATTCCCATCACCTATGCTGGTGGTGCCCGAAGTCTACAGGATCTTGAAAAAGTTCATATCAGCAGTAAGGGCAAGGTCGATTTGACGATCGGAAGTGCCCTGGATATCTTTGGCGGTTCCGGAGTGACCTTTGATGAGTGTGTTGAGTGGAACAAGACACACTGAAAATAGAACCAACTTAAAATAGACGACCCTGGCGAAGGACATGATGAATGTGAATTGATTCAATATACTAACGGTCCACGTTTGCGGAAAGAGCAATGACAGAGTGTTCCGTGTTCGCAGACTGGTTATGAGTGCTCCAGAAAGATCCAGCTTCATCTGCCACGGTACTTAAAAGCATCGCGGATATCCTTGATTGACCTAGCAATTCGAACCATTTAGAGCAACAAGAAGAACCAGCCGTACCAAACAAGTTAGAAAAAGGAGCGTAGATAATATCTTTCACTCAGCTTTATGAGGAAACTAATTGGTTGGACCATATACCAGAGGTCAACGAAGCTTATCACTAACTTCTAGGTCTTCCAGTCACTCTTCCCCCTCACATGGCCTAGTTGGACATACCTTCAGTGCATGGACCAGTTGGTTGTGCCCCATGAGGGGAAATCACAGTACCAGTCTCCCGTGTCGAGCATGATCTCCACGGGTTACCGGGCACATCCCTAGGCGGGGAGAGTGGGCGGGTGGGATGCAAGTGAGGTGGTTCACCTTACTCGCGGTACTTCTTTTTTTCTTTTTTTTTTGTCTTGAGAAAAGCTACTGAATGTTTTAAATTTCTTATTTCAACTCTAAAATTAAACATTGTCAAGGTATTATAGTGGTGTAGAGCGATATTCCTTGGTGGGTGTGGAATAGGAACGGGCCGGGCGAGACGCTGGAGTATGTACTTCGGCATCGTGAGACTGGGATGGAGCATTTCGGTGAAGTATATAGACAACGCGAAGGTTGGGAGCTCATTTCATGGAAGAAGCGATTTTTTGCTTTAGATTTTCTGATTTTCTCCATCTAGCCTGTTGGGCATGGGCAACTCATATTGCCCAAGTGATCCGTTTTGAGCTATTGAATATCTAACAGAAAGCCTTCCACACACATAAACCGCAAATTTTCCAAGGCTGGCTATATCAAGCTACTCGAAAATTGATGGAGTATGCGCTTAACACTCAACTACAAGCACTGGGAATACCACGCATTAGCGTAAGTGCACGTATATCCGGTGGCACACACGGTAGGACCCGTCCAGCCAGAGCCTCCACACTGTCCCCAATGTGCTGCCACGCCCGTGGACGTCGCGGTGCTCGAAGTCGAACTTTTAGTTGTCGTGCTAGTCTTGGTGGCCGATGCGGTTGTCGTGGACGATGACGAGCTGCTAGAGAAGCCAAACCATTCCATATCCTGCGTTCCGTGGATAGGAACCGTATGACCAACACCCGTGGCGTAGATACCCTGGAGCTTAGGGCCCCAGTTAGTGGTTTGGTAGTTTGTGTCCGGGGTATTGGCGAGGGTCGACTCAGGAGAGTCATAGCTGTATCCGAAGACTCCAGCCCACTGCTTGCAGGTCTCGTAATAGTTCTGCGGGTAGAGGATCGTGTCAGTGCTGCCGTGGTAGATCTGCATTCGAGGCCGTGAGCCGGAGTATCCGGAGTACATGGCTTCGGCGACGCCAGCCCAGACGGCCGGGGTGCTGATGACGTTGCCTTGGGCACAGCTGCTGTTCCAACCGTCCACTTGGTTGCTGGAGGAGTAGAAGCAGCCGGCACTAACGCCGGAGTAGACTGTCGCCGCTGCGAAAAGTTCGGGATACGTGGCTGCCATGACATTCTGGGGACGATCTCAGTCAGTTGGGCGTGTAGAGCGGTTGATCAAAAAGACAGGGTCGATTTATTACCGTCATCATGGCGCCAGAGCTGCTTCCTGTCACGAATACTTTGCTGGTATCCGCTTTGTATTGACTGATGGTCCAGGTCACCATGTTGGCGATCGAGTTGCTGTCTCCTCCACCGTTGTGGGTCAGAGCAGACTGAGAGCTGACATCCCAGCAAGTCCCGCTGTAGGGGCTTTCAGGGTAGATGACAATGAAGCCATACTCCTCCGCCAGCTGTGCGTAGGGAGATCCGGTGTAGTACGCCTGGGCGGTGCCAGTGCCTAGATAACTTTTTGTTATTACCTCGCACCAGGAGAAGAGAGATTCAAGCAGGAGACTTCACTCACAATAATGAATGGCGACAATAATTCCAGGGTTAGTGGCCAAATTATTTGGGACATAGATGTACATCAAAGTCCCAGAGGCATTGTCTCCAAAGCTGGTCACTTGTTGAAGCGAGCCCGCGGTGACTCGCTTGCTGACATCGTTCCCCAGTGCTCTGGCAGAGGACACTGTCAGATATAGCAACAGACTTATAAGAAACGAGAAAGGTACGTTCTTCATAATTTTCAGTTTCTGTATGAACTCGTAATTGTTGGATTGAGCCCAGCCTTGGGCCGTTAATGGGGGGATTTTCGCAAGCTTTTATCATGACGGACTGGCCGAATTTACCCTGCCCCAGGTGACTATCCTCTAATATCAAAGATCGTTAGTTCTTCCTAGAGGTTTCGACTACTCTTACATTTTGGCTGAATTCTGGACTTGCTTAGCATCCTCGGACGAATGGAGAAATAGTGGGTTACATCTCCTCTCTCGTATGCCACCTGTGGAGTTCCCTAGGCTAAATTAAAGTAACTGAAACCGCCAGGGGACGGCGCTTCCCCGCATTGGCGTCTGCAGGCCGTAATCTGCAGTATTCGAGCTCGTAATTTGTGAAGAAACCCACATTTATCCACCAAAGTTGGGTCAAGATGGATGTTGCAGATCTGCAAATCGGCCTTCTCGGACCGATGTCCTTTCCTAATGTGGAACCGTGTCTGACGGTGACTTATACTTCCGCAAATCGAAATCATTGAGCCCTACTTCTGACAATTATTTTCCTCTGTAATAGGTTGGTCAAAGCATCCCAATTCCAGCCTCTCTCTTCTTTTTCCGTCAAGACTTACGCTCCATAGTGCTCCCGGTTGCACAACGCTAGCCCCGTGCTCTATGCATTTACTGTAGTTGAGTACCTTTAACACCTCAACATATGAATCTTGAAGAAAAATGTCTAGCATATACGACCATAGGGTGTGGAGAACAGGGCTTCCCGTCCGCTCAGACGTACTTAAGCCATATTTAGTGCACGGCTAATTCTCAATGCGCCCTAAGCTTTAAAATGGCGTTGGATTTGATCTTAGTGTGAGTGTGGGTAATATAGGTAAGAAGTCTAGAGACCGGGGTAATAGAGGTAAGAACGGGGTGAGAGTGGGTGAGAAATTCTTATCTAGATTATCTTAACTGTTACTTATCTAATATAAACTAAGTACGACTAGGATCTATCACCTGTCGGATATCCAGTTGCATGCATATTACTCGCTGAAAGTACAGAAATACACCATGCAAAGTTTATCCAGAGGTACCGGTCGCATTTCAGCATGTCGCTGTCAGCTATCATATTGACCTCTTAAGGCCCCACCGTACAAATTATCTTGCCTTTCGTTTGGTTCTTCTCCAGCAGCTGATGTGCTTCCACGATATCTTCGAACCGGAACACCTTCTCAACGAACACTTTCAACGACCCTTCACAGAATTTTGGTAAGGCATATTCCACCAACAAATCTCTCAACTTCCCCTGGTACTCCAAATCCCGACTTCGCAGCCCGCTAGCCTCCAAGCGAAGCCTCTTGTATAGAAATGGCGCGATGTTCACACCAACCGGTAACTCCGCGCCACCCATAAGACCCAAGAGCACGATACGCCCATCCTGTGCGGCAACGTCCAGATTATTCTGAAAATATGGTGCCCCAATAAAGTCAACAATAAGGTTAACGCCGCGTTTTTGAAGATCCGCCATCCAGTCATCCGTTTTGTAATTGAAGGCCTTTGTGACACCGAGCTTTTGCTCGAGGAAGTGGACCTTCTCAGATGAGCCGACAGTGGCATAAATAGCAGAAGCACCTTTAGCTTTAGCCAATTGGATGCCTGCGATAGAAACCGAGGAGGCGCCAGCGTGCCATAGGACAGATTGGCCATGTTTAAAATCACCGATAAATAAGAGCGCTTGAGCGGCTGTCATAAAGGTCTAGAGGAGTAATTCATCATTATCAAAATTAGGATAAGCTCATTTGTAAAATTCTGTGAGATATATAGGGCATCCCTTGATCATACTGGTATACATACCTCTGGTATGCCAGCAGCTTCCTCCCATGAAAGTTGCATTGGCTTATGGAAAAGGGTCTTGGTCGAGACAACTATGTACTCGGCATAGGCACCTATCCGGTAACTGTAAGATGCAGACCCAACGGAAGCTTTTTCAGCGAAATACGTACCGCCGTATGCCAATCCGAATACCTCATCCCCAAGTCTAAATCCACTCCCCGCAGAGGCAGCGTCATCTCCAAATTGCTCAATAACACCGCTGAATTCTACTCCCATAGCTTCCGGCGCATGAGGTGGTAACGGATATAGACCCTCGCGCTGGAGTAAATCCATGCGATTGAGTCCAAAAGTGCGGACCTTCACGAGCGCTTGGCCTAGTATTGGAACTGGCTTAATGAGGTCGGTGACATACATAGCAGTAGCGGGGCCTTTACCACCTTGGATCGCTGAAGAAGAATGTCAGTATTATGCCTATACGGTGAGATGAAAAAACAGCAACGAAATGAAGGTGTCAATGTGGGAAGCCATCAGTATGCGATAGCTTGCATGGCTATTATCGATGTATACGTACCAATCGCGCGCATCGTGGCCATCTTTACTTATTATAGGAGCCAAACTCCTTTTTGACAGATGAATAGCTAGTTGCTGTATTTGCTCTCTCTGGTTTATATCAGCAAATTCGGGTAAGGGTTGGTCAGCAGATAGCACGGAAAAGAGTCAGCACTGGAAGGTTCGCTATTTGAATACATAGCGGACATGCGCTAGCGAGTTTGGAAAGTACGCCTCGGCAAATTGGCAAACGGCAATCTACCGAGTGACTTTTCTGACCACAAGCCATAATTGCTGTCTCCACAGAGTGAATTTCAGCGCTTTCTCGGTACTACTCTCCCTTCTCCCTTTTAACCGACCAACGCAACTGTTATCTGACAATGTGTTGGGAAATGAAAAAGAATATTCCCCGAGATGTAGAACACATAGGAGACAACCAACGACGTACGATGTACAGTACTAGCAGCGGGAACAACTACCGTTTTCATCCAGCTTTATTCGTGTGATAGATGAGAAATCGAAGCGCGATCTGTGTTTAGTCAACATGCTCAGTGGGGCAGAAAAGGCATAAAAGTTGCCCATCACGGAAGACCTTGCTCGATTTTTAAATAGGAAGTAAAATCCGCCAAGCCATGAGACCCACATGAGTGGAGGAGATGCGATATGTATGTACCAAGATATCGCTTCGCATTATTTTTAGGAAAAGTTCTATCGAGCCGATATCCGGTTTCTTTGCGGAATTCGCTTTCAACCAGAAATCCTGGCATATTCTTGTATGGCAATCCCCAACCAATCTTATTGAGATTAGGCCACAAGGAATTGCAACGTTCTTGGGCCTCAGTTATCCCGTAAGCTCATAGGTATTTCAACCCCCCCTGAGCGCTCCCATTCCATGTTCTTTTCTTCAATCAATCAATCACTCCTTACTCAACCAATCCCTCATGATTCCGTTGCTCTGATTAGCTCATTTAAAAAATACTTCGTAGCATTTAAACTTTTGACATATTTTCTTTGACCAGGCTTTCTTCAATGTTGTATTATTCAAGCAGCAGCCAATTTGTCCTTCAAAACACTCTGCTATTCTCTAAGATCCTGATCAGGCGTCTGATTATATAGTATGTGCACAAGATCACAGTGCAGCGGACACTTTAGATACGCTGCTGGGTGGCTGTTGTTTCATATCAGATACAATACACCGCACCAAACAAGGCCGAGTCACCCGTATCAAATGCGGCATATTATACCATGAGCAATCATAGGACGGTTTGCGTCAGCATTAGCGGAAGCGTAACCGACGAAACACCGTAGAATTTCATTTCATCCTGCATGAAAAACGGTATACTTTGGCAGATCATTGAGTGGAAGGCAAGAGCCTTCTTCTGACAATCCTCGATTGCAGGTAGATTCAGGCAGGCCAACGCTGTATCTCTGCAAGAAGCTGGTACTAGATCTGAAGATAGCAGTTGTCCTATCTGCCTGAAACATACCGCACGGAAGGCCCATAGATAACTCAGTGACGTTGCCACTGGTAGGCTGGAAAACCATAGTGATAGTTGCAAAGAATCATTGACAGTCTGCGGAGCTGGACATGCTGTTCTCGGCCAGAAAAGGGGACCTTGAACTGCAGATTGCATAGAATGCTCCCACGCATCAAGCTCTTGTAAAGTTTTTAACAAATCCGCTAGGATATTCTGGGCCAAAGAGTCTTTCACTTCGTCTGAAAAGAGGTGTAGAGATTGAAGCTTTCGAAGTATAGATGGAAGAACTGAGCCGTGACTGAGGAGCATCTGCAAAGGTGGGGCTTCATGCAGGGAAAAAGGAATCGTTTGCCACTCATATGATGACAAAAAGGTATCTTGACGAGAGAGGCACGCCTCTACGATCTAATTTCACGCCGTCAGTGGGACATACTCTCTTAGCTTTTGAATGATGGAAACGACGTGTGATCTCGCACAATTAGTGGACGGAAAGCCATAAATAGTTGCTGGGATATCGGTTTCGTAAATGATCTCGGGCCGCAGAGTTCCGTCATTCGCCCGATACCTCTAATGTGAGCGATCCAGCCTTCATTGGAGGTGGGGATCAACAACTTGGAAGGTCAGTGAATATTTCCTCGGTTTAGGACAGCAACAGGTAGAACATACCTCTGCCATACTTAAGCACATAATAGCAGCGGCAGATTCGTCGCACACGCCAGTGCCTTCAGTCAGCTCACGGTTCAAGAAATGTGCAGCTTTTGAATAACACTGCGCACGACAGATATCCCACTGAGAGCGTGTGGAGCCTTTGTACCCCTTACAAACGATCGAATACCCTAAAGTTCTGAGCGATTCAGACAGAAGAGGAGCACTTCGACTGGTGCGTCGGCTGCGGTCCAACAGCAGAGGCAGCACCTCTAGCCAAGGGCTACAGGTGGTTGAGGAAGACTTATCGGGACAGAGATCCTGCCAAAAGTCACCTTGGTCGGGGGTGAAATATTCATTAACCAAAGCAACGACATCTTCGTCTGTAGACCACCAGAAAGTGGAGAAGTTGAGCATGAGACTTTTAGTGGAAGATCCGGGCTGGAGCATTAACGCTGTTTGTGACAGAGAATGGTTTGGTGAAGCATTTGAGAGGACGATCCGTGAATTGGAGGAATCTGGCAAAACAAAAGTGAAATCCTCATAGCCAGGGCAGGTTATCTTGGCTTTCAGACATTGAGTACAAGCAGGACGTTTTCCGTCGCACTGGATGAGACCAAATCAGTCAAGCCGGGTCAAGGAAATCGCTACATGAGACAGCAGCAGCGACTGGTTAGTGGACGCCCAGAACTCACGCCATATTTCCTTTTCCGACAGCTCTGACATACTGCGCGACTCCTGATTTTCATGTTGGGCCTGCTGTGGGAAATTGCAGAAATACAAGTTCGCCTGGTGGCAAGTCCGAGGGAGCTAAGCTAGTTGAATTCTGTAGGTGGAAGGGTCGGCACTAAAAGTCTTGGCGGCTAATGTTGCCAGTTTCAGTTAGTCTCCAGGTGGAAGTGTGGGGCTCCGAAGATTGTCTAAACCAATACATGTCATGTCCGAATCCTGATCGACGTCCTGAAGCACTCCTAATTACTCCAGATCAGAAATGGAGAAGAGTGAGGAAGAGAAGAAAATTCGAAATGGAAGAGTGGAAAGCCAATAATACTGACCAATGACAAGTTCGTCGAATTGCAGATTCCCCAGCAGCCCTGCGAGGGACAGAAGAAAAGATTCTCTTATGAAGCTGGCATCGTTTATCAGTTTCTCGTCTCATTTAAAAGGGTTGTTCCTCTACTTCGTTGGTGCGTACAAGCTGACTAAATTTCGCAACATGGAAGAAGCCCTGGTTATTAGCACCAACTCCTCACTCAAGGTCAAAATCCACTCGGTGCCCGTTCCCAAACCCGGACCGAATGAAGTTCTGATCAAGGTCGTCGCCAGTGGCACGAACCCCAAGGACTGGAAATTCCCGGAGTGGTTTGAAAAATTCAACGGGACCAACACTGGTGATGACATCGCTGGGTACATACACCAGGTCGGCGACAATGTGTCCGAGTTCAAAGTGGGAGACCGAGTCGCCGCGTTTCATGACTATATGACACCGCATGGAAGCTTCGCTGAATACGCCATCGGGAAAGTTCACGCCACCTTCCATCTTCCACCGCATATCTCCTTTGAGGCGGCGGCAACCGTTCCATTGGCAGCTGCGACCGCTTCGCTGGCGTTGTTTGCTCGATTGGGCCTCCCTGAACCCTGGCTAGGCAATAAATTTTGGGCCAGGAAACCTCGAGGAGGGGTTCTCGTCTACGGTGCCGCGAGTGCCGTCGGATCATTCGCCATCAAATTGCTGCAAAGAGCAGACATACACCCCATTATTGGAATTGCTGGAAGAGCTCAGGATTATTCCAAGAGCCTCATGAGCATCGACAAGGGCGACGTGGTCATAGACTATCGCGACGGTGAATCTGCCGTCGTACGCGCAATCCTCGATGCCATTCCAACCGGGGAAACCCTTCAATATGTGGTCGACGCCGTCAGCGAGAGTTCCAGCTTCAACGTGATCAGCAAAGTTTTGGACCCGACTGCCGGGGTGGTCTCAATCGTCACTCCGGAGCGACCAAAGGAACTAGCCAGCACAATCCGTGTGGAGTTCAGCAACGTTGGAAGCAGTCATGAAGATGATAAAGATTTTGCATTCGTGTGGTCTCGAGTGGTGAGTATGGGGTTACGCGAAGGTTGGCTGGAGCCTCATCCCCATGAGATTGTTCCGGGGGGACTGAATGGTATTCAGACTGCGCTGAATTATCTGAAAGCTGGAAAGGCTAGCGCTGTCAAATATGTTGTGAGAATTTCGCAGGAGTGACGTGACCTAGCTCACTAGTTTTATACTCCATGAGAGGCTCCGGAACGCTTGTATGCTTGGAGATAGGATGTACTATACCTCATGTTGGGCAGTGTGTTAGGCGTAAAAAGCGGATGGACTTGTCATTTACCTACTCCATTTCTTTTTTCTTTTCCTGGGACCTCAGCCATTGTGAGTGCTCAGGAACCATCAGAGGCCCCATGGATGTAGTCAATATCTGCATTCCGTGTTTGTTGGCCGAACTCGGTATAAGTTGACCGAGTATCTCGCTCCACATAACCTGACATACATACTGATACTGACCGTCCGTCGTGGAATTTGATGGTCGCACGACGGAGGATGATCCACACCCGCTCTCACCCTGTCTATTGCGCACTCACCTCTACGCATTGTAAATAGAAGCCTGAGAGGATATGTTTTAGCTTTAGCAAATTTCTAGCACATACGACCATAGGGTGTGGAGAACAGGGCTTCCCGTCCGCTCAGCCGTACTTAAGCCACATATAGTATGCGGTTAATTCTCAAAGCGCCCTGAGCCTTAAAATGGCGTCCGATTTCATCCTAGGGTGAGTGTGGGTGATTTGGGTGAGAAGTCTGGATACTGGGGTGATAGAGGTGAGAACGGGGTGAGAGCGGGTGAGAATTCTCACCTAGGATCACCCACATACCCACTTTAACTTGGAGACCAGCCCATAAATATGAGTGCTGGGTGGCTTCCTAGCCTTCTGTTCTTATTTCTCAAAGTTCAGTCGTTTCAAAGAAGATGTTACTGAAAGACTTCCAAAACGAACTCGAGGAAAGAACTGCACGTGCTGCGTCACGTGGCTTCACCCTTGAGTATCAAAATAAACGAGAACAAGAAAACAACACTATCTGCCTTAAATAGCTCGCTCTAGCTACTCTCAAGAAGTATGAAGATATAGAAAAAAATTAGGCCCTGTAAGTACTGCTATTAACAACTACAGGTCGTGGCCCTAATTTCTGCAGATGGAGACTTTCCCGGAACGAAGCGATTAATGCTAATTTTTCTAAGAATGAACCTAATCCTACCCCTGAAATTTTGAAATCTTTTGCCGAGGACTATATTGTAATAAGAAGAAAGATACCTTCGTAGAAGTCTGTATATCAGAACTTAATAAACTTCACGTTAAGATGGGAAAGAGAGACGTTTCGTTCTCTGCCGAGGCCTATTAAGGACGATGTTCTAAACGTAAGACCACTTAATCTCCTTAAGGCTATTCCTCCTTATAAGTTAAAGTATATTAGGTAGGATCTGACCGTTAAATATTAAATGCCTATAAAGCTACGAGAGCGTTTTATGGTCACTGTAAAGGATATTGACTACCTTCTTCGGGGCCTTTTCGGCGATGATTAGCACGATTATAAGCACGAGAGAGTACGTGTATAAACTGGGAGTGCTCTTATCCTATTTGCTGGCTTAGGTACTAGGGCCGGTACTATAGTGGAATCGAGCGCTTATCTTCACACTAACGAATATCTATATTATGGGGTACGTTTGGACCTTATCCCTCCCTATTCCCTCCCTATCCCTAGATAGTAATAAAGCTAACCGAAGTCTTAAAGTATCTTATATTTAATATGAAATAGAGTACTAGAGATTAACTAAAACGCTAGGTGACGATTAATCCCGAGTTTCTAAAAGGATGGCGCTATCGCGATGATAAAGATTTGTTAGTGCGAATAAGCTTTTGTGGAATTTGACTGCTGACTTAAAGATAATTAAGACCGAAAAACTGGTTCAGAGAACATCTAATTCTCGGAATGAATTTTGTTTTCTAGGTGATAGTGTATAGAATTGCTGATAGCGCCTTTAAGGGTCTTAGTACAGTAGTAGACGTTCTCGCTATGAGACCTCTAAAAGGGAGAGAATTATATACACTTAAGTGGAATGAGAACGTGAAGAAGCTTCTATTCTTTAGGATGGTGACTCTAGAAGGACCCTATCGAAAGAAAGGATTGTCCTTTTCTTCTATGCACTGGAATTTCACGCGTCTAGCTTAGCGCGAGTGCTTTAAGGACCTACTACGCGTATATAGGATTCGTGGCGCTGTTGCAAATTGTATTGACCGTAAGTCATTCTAGTTCTCCTTAGATAATTAGCGCTTATATTATTTAGCTAAGGCATCGGAGGCGACCTGTAGCTAGGCTCTCGATCATTAAAGCCATAACACATATATTAAATACCAATCTGTGCTTAAATCTTTGGATATTTAGGCCCTGTTCTATGATTTGCTGCCTGATTATGAATGTCGGGATATAGAGCAGAGTATAGCTTATTATAGAGACCCTAATGCCCCCCAGAGATTGGACGCAGCTGCTATCTAAGCATTTGAAGAGAGAGTCGATATTAAATCTATGAATCGGAGAATTACTTATCTGACTTCAGAGATCGCCGGGGAGCCCTAGATACATAAGGAACTTGCTGCTGAACGTATAAATCTATATAGCAGGAAATCCAAGCTCTTGGAAACCTGGAAGAAGGAATTCATATAGAAATGGTGGTATTCTGTATACGACGAATATATATTAGGAAACGAGTTCACGGAACGCGATATAACCTGTTTATTTAATATATATAAAAAGTACTTACTAGAACGTGCTCGTCTGAGCCAATCACTTTTTACGGAAACATCATTGGATAGTGTGATCGGCTAATAATGCTTAAGGGATATGGTTGCGCTTTGTAAATCTACGGAGCGTGTTGTTTACTATCCCGGGCTATTACCTGAGGACGATCGATGTCCGATATGCTATAAGCTTATGTTATAGTAAGCATACTCTGCCTTTTGATCGAAAATCTAAGACTGACCAAAGTAGGATACCATTCTAGGGGAGAGTAAAATATATCTTGTAGTGTCGAAGACGTTCTCTAGGTGGGCCGTAATACCAACAACGCTACCGGAACGAAAAGCGAGCGTATAGGCGTGTTTAGCGGAACTTTGTGTAGTTCTGCTATCTCTGCGCATAAATCTACTCTGACGAGTAAGCGTGGATTAGCCACTGCTAAAGCCACCTGAATAGTCTTCAACCACGATATGGGATGTTAATATTCCGTTATACGCTCGTTGCCCCTGGCTTTTGCCTATTTTGTCTGGGCGAGGAAGCTAAGAAACTAGACGAGAGATTTTAATAATGGGTGGCTAAGGCAACACTGCTTAATTATATTGACTAACATTTCGATGGTTTGAAAACCTCAACGACATTTTTCTGTCTATATCCTTGTTGTCGAGCAAAGGATTATGGGAGTATTATAAATCTGCGTCGCCACTTCTTCGATGTATATTCTATTGACGAAACGCGGTCTAACTGTGTGAATCGAAAAAGAAAATGGCAAACGGAACCGGAACTTCTCGCTGAAGATAACACTTAATCTCACCCCGAGTACTCAGCTATATAGGAATTTTCCAATGTTGATAATTATCATAAGAAAGGGAAAACGGCTAGATCCGACGAGGTGTAAGTTATAGAGGAATCTATGGAGTATTTTACGTGTTATAATGAAAGCTAGGCTTATCTGAAGTGGGCGTAAGCATTAGAGGATCGTGCCCCGAAACATAGGTAGCGTGTTCTTGAATGGATCATTTATTTTAGGGTGAAGATGTCCTATAGTATTCTACAGTAACAGATTAGATAACTCCGCAAATAGCTGCGATAGTATAATAGTACCCTTGGTCTGGGTGAGTCGGAAAACCGCTATAGTAGTAAACCTGCGACACCTTTTTAGTGAACTTAATGACTTATAGACCCCACCTACTGTGATATTTCAGATTATCAAAGTCAAAATGGGGGCAGCCTGCTTCCGGTCGGGCTATAGGTAAGTAAGGTTCGAATTGCTTTAAATTATAAATAACGTTCTCCCTCTTCTCCGGGCTCTACCGCCGCTACACCGTAGCTGCTTCTACTGAATCCCTTATGAGAATAATTTCCACTTCGTTCATTATGTAGCTTATCACTCCTTTTATACTAGGCCTAGCGTGCCTTATTAGAGCTAGTGCTAATATAGAATCCGAGAGTGCTGGTAATACCGAACTTGTAGTCCGCCGTACGGATGGATATCGCTCTATTGCCTACTTTGTTAACTGGGTCAGTTTTCCTGAAATAGCACTTGATTAGATACTTAGAGTCACTTGATTTTATATTTAGGTAATTTATGGCCGTAACTTCAATCCTTAGGACCTCCTAACTGATAAACTGACGTATGTGCTATACGCTTTTGCTAATGTATACCCGGACACCGGAACGGTGTATATCTTAGATCCTTAGGCCGATATAGAGAAGCATTATCCTACTGATTCGTGGAGCGATACTAGAAACAATGTTTACGGATGTGTGAAGTAGCTTTTTCTCCTTAAGAAGAAGAATCGAAATCTGAAGATCCTGCTGTCTATCGGGGGTTGGACTTACTCGGCTAACTTTGCTAAGCCCCTCGGCACTATGGCGGGCCGTGCAAATTTTGCTTCCTCCGCTAAGGATCTAGTGGTGGATCTTGGATTTGATGGTGTTGACATCGACTGGGAGGTAATATTGTATAAGATACTGTTTAAACGTAAGCGGCATGCTAACGAATACCTAGTATCCTGCGGATAGCACTTAGGCCGATAATATAGTTTTAACGCTTTAATAATTACGATCGGTATGCGAAAGTATTACTCCTTTTCTTTATTAGGCATAAACTAATATATTAGTAAGAGCCTGGATATATATAGCGCTGTAGAAGCAAGGAATTACCACTTTTTGATTAGCGTTGTATGCCCAGCCGGTATGTTTCTCCGGGCCCCTGGATTTGTTATTTCGTTTCTCATCCAATATACAGGACTAGCAAATTACCAAAATCTCTATATATTAGCTATGGATAAGTACCTTGATTTCTGGAACCTTATGGCTTATGATTACTCCGGTAGCTAGGACACCGCTGCTGGCTATAACGCTAATATCTACCCCTTAACCAGTAACCCCTCTAGCACGCCCTTTAACACCGA